TGTATAGGTAAAACTTGGGGCCAAAACCCAAAGATTATATTTTGGATATATCAGGCAGTAGTACGTCATATCATGACATATGGTTGCCTGGTTTGGTGGCAAAAGGTCACACAAGCTGGATCTATTGCTGTTTGCATGAAGCTCCAGAGATTAGCGTGTCTCTTAATGACTGGTGCTATGAGGACAAGTCCAACTGCAGCACTTGAGGCTATACTTGGATTGACACCTCTGCACATACACATTCAATCTACGGCGGCGCTTAGTGCGCTTCGACTAAAACTACACATGAACAAGGGTTGTCTTGACTATGGTCATACAACAATATTAAAAACATTTGGAGCACATAAAATTCCTCAATGCGATGGAGACTATACAACAGAACTCCATCGTTTTGGCAAAAAATTTGAGGTACACCTACCATCATGTACAACGTGGGAGAATGGAGACCCACAGGTTGACCCAAAAAGTTTGATTTGGTACACAGATGGATTAAAGTTGGATGAAAGCACTGGCGCTGGTGTATATGGACCCAACACCAGCATTTCGGAGGCAATGGGCACATGGCCGAATGTCTTTCAAGCTGAAATCCACGCAATCAACTTATGCGTAAGATCCAATTTAATCAAAAAATCTTCTGGCTCGAAAATCATTATTTACTCTGACAGCCAGACTGCTCTTAAAGCTCTTTCTTCTTAGACTTTCAAATCAAAACAGGTCCTTGAGTGTTATGAGCTTCTGCAAGCACTTGCACCTCGGAATAAGGTAAGCCTTTACTGGGTTCCGGGCCACAGAGGAGTTTTGGGAAATGAAAAAGCTGATGAGCTAACCAGAACTGCATCAAAAACTGCTTTTATAGGCCCTCAACCCTTTTGTGGAATAAATTGGGCCAGTACAAAACAGATTATCAAGGAAATGGAAAATCATATGCGGCTGGAGTACTGGGTAAACTTTCCAGGACTCAGTCAAAGCAAAGCACTGATAACACCGTACTCCTACAAAGACATTCTTAAATTCTCAAAATGTAATTTAAGGTTGATAACAGGTTTCATACAGGTCATTATGGTCTGAAATATCACCTTCATAAACTACAATTATCTGCTAACTCGGAATGCAGATTATGCCTCGAAGATGACGAAACGACCATGCACATTCTTTGGACTGTCCAGCTTTAATAACGCACAGAAGAAACATGTTTCATAAAGAATTTCTGTCACCAGAACAGATTAAGAACTCTTCTATAGATTTAGTTCTAGACTTTATTCACAAAGCTTTAAGGGGCTTTGTTTAATCAATAGTGAAACTGGTACAATAGGTCTCTTCTGGCCGCAGTACCGGCTGTTGGGCAATTTTCACGTCTACTCTCTCTTAATATATTTATTATTTTTGGTTAAAAGTTTTCAAATTTATTTATTAAACATATCATTAAATTTTCACAATGGTAACACCGAATTTACTTAATATGTGTCTAATTTACCCTACTCGAAAATTTGGTAAATACCATCATTCGCTGCCATACCGACATAATTTACTATTTCTCTCAATTTACTCGAACTGGCACATGGCCTTAGTACAAATTTGTAAACACAACTGAAAATTTATAATTAATTGTCTTACTAATAAATAAATATATAATATAGGTAAATATATAAGTTTTCTATGTAAAAACCATATTAAAGCTTTGTAAATACAAAAGCGTATGCTTCTATGAGTTGCTATTAAATTCGTGTTTTTAATAATTACTTAAAATTAGTTATACAATTTTATTTTTTTATTACACTATAATTTTTTTAATGATTATGAATTATACGATATTGTCACACAAATTGTTTTGTTAAATAATAAACAAAAAAATCACGGAATAAAAAATTAAAAACGCAAATTATTAGTTTGTTTATTTACAAAGTTTCAAATTTTATTTAAAATTGATTAATGTTTTCTTATAATTTCATTTAAAGTCACAATTTTATCTATAAAAAAATATACCAAAAACGTTCTACAGAAATTCACATATTCATAAACATTTTGTGATTTCTCAAAGGTCGAAGACTTTTCAGACTTATTTTTTAAATATAATAATACAAAATATGTTTACTTAATGTTGGTTTTAGTTTCACCAGCGCTGGCCACTGGTGAAGCTCCCCCCTATCTTCTATGAAGACCCATATACTACGCTCGCTGTTGATTGAGCAGTGAATATTGTTTGCATTTGCTGGTTATTCTGAAATGCTTCATATGATCTAATCTATCTCGCAACTTAGTAGCTAATCATTTACGTAGAGTAAAAAGAGTATTAAGTAATCTATAGTTTTAGTGCAATTGAAAGTAAAAAGACTTGATGGAAAATTGTTTATGGACTTGGATCTGGTGTCTCTTTATCTCTGTAGCCCTATCATGCCACTAGTGGTTTAACACATAGAGAATTTTACCTTTTTCTCGATCTCAAAAACTTGAAATTACAAGTGTTAAAGACTGACAAATCATTCATTACAATAAATTTCATTCCTTTGCATCTTTAAAAGTAATTATTAAGTAATTAATATCTCAGTACCCGTATGAGGTTGTTCAATAGACAAGGCCCATGTTATGAAGAGTGTAACGGACAAGTCAAAATTCGATCTTTCGGGCTATAACGAAAATGCATGTTATGCAAAATGTCACATCTGTTTGCCAATTTTGTATTTTTTCAATTACTTTTGTACTTTTTGGTTGTGCCTAAATTTTAAAGAAAATATATACTTACATACAAATATACAACTCGGGTTTGACTGCATGATGAAGCACAGATAATCTCAGCTCTCATGACCGAATTTAAACCGATATTTTTTTTCTCTCACACTCAGTTTTTTAATTTGCATTAAAAGCAACAACAATTTTGATTTTGAAGTACCTGTGACACTCTACATGACACTATCATGGGCCTAAGAAGACAAATCGTAGAAGTCCACTCATCGTTATTGGAGTTATTTTATATACACACATGTCCTAAATTTACTTAAAATCAAAAAAATCAAAATATTTTGTGGTCAAAAGATAACAAAATATATATACATGTATACATGTATATATACATGTGTACACAAGATAGTATGTACGTCTCCTTTACAATAAAGTGACTCTAGTGCCACTTGACGATGTTATGATTTGGTGCTGTTTTTTCTATACCAGTGGACGCGCTATTATATAGCACGGTTGGTAATATGGATCGAAAACTGTATTTTGAAATAGTAAACAAGGTAATAATTCTAATGAAATATTACGTTAAACCTGGTTGGCCAATGGTTTAACAATTCGAAATATACCAGCAATAAAATTTTTTAATTATTACAGATATTATATATGGTCTTACGAAAAAAAAAAACATTTAAATAACAAAAATTAGTGAAATAGACGACAATAAGTTTGAAAGAGTGACTATATCGGGACTTGATTCAAACCTTTGCAACGATGTTGTATGGTTGTCATAGACTATAAAGGTTATTTTACTAGATACTTGACCAGAACTCCAATATTGTAAGCATGAACAATTAATTTCCATATATTTAAGCAAGAAAATGTAAAAAAAAAATTTTTATTTGCTGGTGTAATACTGGTGTAATGCAAATATTTTGGATATATTAAACATAAAAATTAATTAAAAATTTTAAAAATTATAATATATTATAAAATTAAATTATTATTATAAAATTATAAATATTATTATTATCATATATATTATATTATAATTATCATATAATTTTAAAATATATAATATTCCAAATTTACAAAAAATAGGAATTTTTATGTACTAGTCAAACCAATATAGAAAAAAATTTTTTCTCCAAATTTATTTATAATTTATTAAATTAAATATTAAAATATTACATTTTACATAAAAGTCCAAATTTAAATTTAAATTAATTAAATTAAATTTAAAGTGAAATATTGTATTGCAGTACATATTGGGTTCGTCAAAATTTTTATAGTATAAAGGATTTGTTTCTCTTATAAGCGTAAGATTATAAAATAATTTCCTTATTTTTTACTTAATTTAATTTAGCTTATTAAAAAATATTTTAATAGAATAAAATAATTTTTTTTTTAATTTATTAATTATTTATTGAATCTTTTATTTACAAAGTTACAATAAGTGAATCAAATCTTAAAACTAAATTTATTTTTTTCCTAGGCCATTGGTTTGGAAAAAACTATTCAGACATTAAATAATTTAAAATAAAATGATGTTAAAAATTAAAATCAAATTGAAAATCAAAAATTAAGGATCGAAGAGAATAAAAATAATAAACTAAATGTATAATATAAGTTGTAATGTAACGTCAGTTATGAAGGAAGAGTGACTATTATTTAATAGAAGCTAGCATATTTGGTAGAGATGTTTCGAAAAGTAGTGAACTACTACAACAAACCTCTCTAATAAATGTATAATGTAAACACATAACAGAAAAATAAATAAATAAAATAAAATGAAACAAACTTCATCTCAAACTATAATTTAAAATAATTATAATATAATATATTAATATTTTGATTTCATAAATATATTATATACAAATTATATAATTTTATATATAGTATATATATGTATAATACATAAATATAATACATATTAAAATAATATATATATAATAATTATATATATGTAATTATATAAATAATTATAATGTCATATTGAATAATTAAAAATGAAAAAAAATTGTTTGAAATATTAATAGGTATAAATATTCACAGTGAATTATATTAAAAGAAATAATAATAATAATTTTAATCATCAATTTTATTTTAAATATTGAAACAGCAATGTTATTAAATAATTTAAAAATCATATAAAAATTTATTTTAATGTTAAGTATATTAAATAAACGTGTTTAAAAACAAGTATATTAAAAAATTAGGGGCAGTTCTCTTTTGCATTTAGTAACTACATAACTCACTTTATTTATATATAATATATATTTATATCACTATAATCTTTATTGTTTAACTTTTATAAATTGTAAAAACAAAATTTACACAATCAGGAAACAATTTCATAGCGTCTTAACATTGTATTGATAAATGTTTTATATATATTTACATTCAGCAATACATTTTTATTTTTCATATTTTCATCACCTACTATAGCCAATAAATTCATTTGTCCAGTCTCAGTCTGACTCTGTTCGCTTATTGCAGAACCACTTGCTAAATTCCTAATAATTCTTTCGACATCTTCATCAGTCTTATAGTTATACTCCTTAAATGGTTCTTCAGAAGGGGAAAACAAACATATCGGTTTAACATCTACCGAATACGTAAAATAATTTATTAAAACCATTAAAGCAATACCGTCGTCAATATTACTGAAAATAAGTACAAATAAAAATACAATTAAAGGAAAAAATAATATTCTATTATATACTACAGATTAGGATGGAATGGTGATACCCAAAGAAGAGATCTTACACATAGACTAATCTGACTTATCTAAATATGCCAAATAAAAATTATTTTTGTTTAAGTTATTTAGAGGCTTTTATTTTAGAATCCAATACAAAAAAACAAAATGCGATTGGTCTTCTTCAGTCTTTCTTCATGAAATAAAAATTAACCATATAATTATTACATAGTAATCATAGTAGTCCCGTAAGTTTCTGATTAGTCGTTAGTATTTTACTGTTTCTATGGATGTTCAAGAATGTGGGTACATCTTAAGTGTACCCACTTAAGGTGTAAGAGTACACCTTTTTTTGAAAAGATCAGTATTCGAAAAGCTAGGGTTTAATATAAATGACGCGACATTAATTGTTTTTGAAAATATTAATGTTAAATAAAAGTATTATAATTCTTAAGAGTGCGGTTTTCGATTCACTCGGCATAATAACTCCACTCCTTTTTAATAAAAATAATATTTGACGATATTAAACCTACTAGTAATACTCGTAATATGTATTTGTTATTACACACATTTTTAATAAAATTAATGACTTACTTAGGTTTCACAATTTCGGATACGTTATGAGCTATTCTACCAGTGGGACCGCCTGACTTGTAGGCTTGTCTATAATCTCCTTCGACAATATTATATAAAACAGCACGGTCGTCAGTAATGCATGTATTAGCTGAAAAAAATTAAATTATAATTAATTTCATATGTGTATACAATATGTCAAAAATAATTCATAATAATACTTTATACATGTTACACACTCTAACGATCTTATATAGCTATTCAATTCAATTGGATTTTAAGTATTTATTTTAAACATTAATGCAGTCAAATTTCTATAAATCGAATTCCCATTTTGCAAAGAAATGGTTTGACTTATGGAGACTTCGAGTTAAAGAACTTTTTTTAATTGTATGTAATTTGCTCTCTAAACCGTGTTTTACTTTATTTAATTCGAGTATAGAAGTTCAAGTTATGGAAGTTTGACTGCATTGTGTTTTCAGCTTGACTTCAACTTCATATACACAGTATTTGTATTAATAAAAAAGGTGTCAACTCTGATATGTCTTTGTATTTTCTCTATCCTTATCCTTCAATATATTTTATTATAGTTAATTTGTTCTTGCAAAAATATTTTTTACAAACAGTTGTTAAGAAGTTCAAAGTGCGATAAATAAGCTTCAAAAGAGTATATAACCCAATTATTGTATATGTTTATTCTATCTCAGTACTACAAGTCTGATCGATTTAGCGATATCACACTGTATGTTCCTTTGTTTGTCAGTTTGCCTATTAATTCATTTATTTGTCTTTTTTCTACATCGATAAACTTTTCCCAATTAATCCTACTATAGGAAAATTTAATTATCAATCAATTGATGCTACAGTTACAGTTCAAATTATCGATGAATGCATTGACCCACATGGACTATTTAGATATACATCTAATCTTCACAAATAAAAGTCAGTTTAGTGACGTAAGTCTTGCAGCTGTAGTCTTAAACAAAATATATACTGAAGTTAAAATCTAGAGTCTGTAGCAATTACAATAAAATTTGATGTACAATAATTTAGTTGATCGAATTTAAATCATTTATTTTAAATAGAATAAGCTAGAAGAGAAAATAAACGTGGTTCTAGTTCTCAGGGAACGCAACGCTGCGATCACGATTGATCTTTTATCTTATTCACCTTAATTGAACAGCAGACACTACGTGTTTCAAATGAAAACTAAAACGTGAACTATTGAAGACATCTCATTTTCTGGCAAAGATAGAAACTTTCAAACTGATAGTGTACACCTCATATGATTCCAAGCAGACACGTTTATCTGTCTTTTCAATTAGATCGATCTAGTTAAAATGGTAACCCATCTTATTTATATTACAAATATTTATTTTATATAGTCTCCATAAAATTAATTTAAATAGCTTCATGTGATAATGCTGATGCTACACAGTTTAGAGATAATATCATTGGAAGATTGGAAGACTGTTTCAATTGACTAAACACTTATCGAAAATTAATAATTAATACAAAATTTTATAAAAATTCTCGCGCTCACAGGAGCCTCGCGAAAAGTTACCGACTGTTGATTCTAAGCACTTAATAAATATTTTGAACAATTTGGTTTGATAATGGCGTTAACCATATTCGAAGTATTCCCGAATGTTTATATAGTAACCAGATTCATGTTTACAGTTCCAGTCAGTATAGCTTCGACGGAAAAAAGCTTCTCAAAGTTAAAATTGATTAAGACGTACTAGAAGAGTATGATGGTCCAAGAGAGACAATCTCCATTGGAAATTCTATAAACGGAACCAAAAATAGCAGCTGGCGCAAATTATGATATAATTTAAAAAAAAATTAAGTGAGACTAAAAGTAGGAAAATTCATTTATTTTAATTTTAATTTGTGTTTATTTTAATTTAATTAGCAATAAAACTTTCAACAATGTAACTTGAAACTTTACAACTGGGTTATAAAGGGGGCCTCGCAATTCTGATGTCGCCGATGTACAGTGTTGGTCTAGCTCCGCCACTGATTGATACGTATATTATGAAAAAGATTATTTAATGATTAATACAAGAGATTTTCAGAAATAAGAAAGACAGACAATCTATTGTGTTGCACACTCTAACGATCTTATCCACACGATCTTATCTATCTTTTTGATTGAAAAATTTATCATTTGTTAAACGTAGTAGGTAGGTAGTAGGTAGTTAGAAACAAATGTTACTTAGGTATTATGAGTAGTACAATACATCTTGTAGGGATGTGTTGTGACCAAAGTATATAATATACCTTCTAATAATAAGTCTTATAATGTAAATATATTGTATTACCGCAGTAGTCAATTAATTAATCTATTAATTAATCTAGTCAATTAATTAATCGAATATGAATATAACTGAAATCGTAATGATCATTAGAAAACTAATTTGTAAATTTTGGAGTATTTCATTTCATTTATGAAAGTAAACACAATTGTTGAAAAAAACTATCTAGAGAGTATTATCTGACAAATATTTTATAATTTAAATTAAATTAATTTAAATTCTTTTACATAGACCAGTACTTCAGACAATACTTATTTTACAGAATATTAATTTTTCGGCAATTATGCACAAAATAGAATTTGCATTTATTAAAACATAACTATGTATTTACTTTTGTTTCTAGTGATTGAACTATAAGCTAAATAAAAATTAATATTAATTTGAATCATTCAGTTTTCAATTGTTCTAAAAAAACACTCTCCTTTTGGATAATATATAATTATATATTAATTATTTAAATTTTAAGTTCCACTCCCTTACCAGTCAGAACAAGTTTTGCTGATATGATGGTACCAGTACAAATATAATGATATTGCGGCATATAGTTTCGCATATATATGCTTACAACCCATGGTATTGTATTATTCAATATATTTTTTCTACGTAGAACTCCACATTCCGGTTCGCATGAAAACTTCTGAAAATCCCAATTTCCGTTAGCAGTACAAGTTAAAATTTGATTGCGATAATTTTGAACATTCCAAAAGTATCCTGGGGCACAACCTAAACAAATCTTTGTACCAACGTCTAAACGAGGGAAATAAGATATTGCTTTATTGCTGCTGCAGTCAACGGCAGTAATTGAAGGATCATTCAATATGTTTGATACACTGCAACTTCCTATAAAAAACAAAAATTATAAAACAATATATGGACAATAAATTTCTAAATCTTACTTTTACACACCGGCAAATCAAATAGCCATTTTCCATTAGGTAAACAAAAATTTTGTAATGTGCCTCTGAATATGTATTTATCAATACAACTTAATTGTACAACTGTACCAGAAACCACACCATGTCCAAGTTTAATAATCTCTTTAGTATCACCATGTTTCACAATTAAGTTTTCATTATTTGTTGGTACAATACAAGTGTTTAATTTTGGTTTCGCATGTATTGGTATATAATCATAAGTATAAGTATTGTTAATAACTTTTGTCTTACTGCACAGCGATGAATTTTCGTCTGAACCATCGGCACAATCAATTTTGCCATCACATTTAGCTTTTCCACTGACACAAGCACCATAAGCACAGCGAAATGCGTACTCGGGACAATATACTTGACTGCATATTTCCGGTTTCTCATCAGCATCATTCGAACAATGTATTTCACCATCGCAAAGGAATATACTATTTATGCATTCATCGTGAAGGCATTCAAATTCAAGCTCAGAACTTTAGAGTTGATTCACAAGTTAATATATGAATACAGACATAACAATTTTAATATTTTAACAGAATTTTACTACCTGCAATTGCCTCGTACTAAGTTGATAAGAGCTTGTGTAGTCAAACCACACAGTGCTTCATCTGAACCATCTACGCAATCAGTTACATTATCGCAACGCGATGTTCCTCTAACGCAACCACCATAAGCACAGCGAAATGCATAATCGGGACAGGAGAGTTCTTGACAGTTTTCAAATGTCTCATCCGATCCATCGGAACAGTGTTTGACACCATCGCAAACCTGTACAATATTTATACACTGTCCACTCTTGCAGCTCCATTGATCGGCACTACATTCAAGAGCATTTACTGTCAAGATTAATGGGAGATATTTTAATTATATAATAAATTTAAATCATGTATTAAAAAAAATATGTGCGGTGTATAATTTGAGAAATATATAAATAAAAGCACTAAAAACCAACCTAACACGTTGCAGGACCATGTTAGTCTCGTCCTGAAATTCTTCCAGAAATGGAAAATAAAAATTAAAAACGAGAAAACTAAAGCCCTGTTTATAAATCATGTTTATAATTCGTGAAGACAGCATCAAATTCCTGGGAATCACAGTTCATTTGGCACAAGCACATACAAGTCAAAAGAAGTAATTGCGCGAAAACACTGCACTGCCTTAACGAAGAATTAAAATCTGATCTACAGCCAAATAATCAGACCAGCACTACTCTATGGGTGTGTCGCGTATAGCAAAGCTGCCAACTCAATTCTTTAGAAGCTGCAATCTGGTCAAAGTCAGTCATCGAATAATGAGAAGCTTCTGAAGAATACATAAATTAGTCAGTGAGAAGGGTGGGACTCTCCAGAATCTTCCCAGGTATCAAAGATAAAAGTGCCCAGATGCACTAATTCGAAAAGGACTCAACATGAACTAATAAGCTTTAGGTTTTAAAATATGAAAAAATTTTTCAGAAGTACGAATCTTTTTACTATTTAGAGTAGCTTATAAAAAGTATCAAAATGGGTCAAAAATCATAACGTTTGTAAAAAAATATTCTAAGAACAAAAATAATTAACAGCCAGCTAACTGCACTAAGAAAACTAATATGAAAATAAAATAGAAACATGCCAATATTAAAAAATGGAAAAATAATTTAACACAAATTTTAATTATAATTAAACATTTTCCTCACAGACAAAAAAACATCAATAAAATATTGACTTTAGAAAGCCTCCACATACTAATAAATATAGACGAAACTATAAACAGGAGAGAGGACAGTGACAATATCAGCACCATTTACTGCTAGAATCTACACTGTATAATCTATATTGTATTTTGTTCATATATTAAAAAGTATAAAACGTATTGTTTATTGTTTATATTTTAAAACTAAAATTTGTAAATAGATTCCTGTATAAATAATCGCCTTATATGTTTTCAAAAGCAGTTGTAATAATACTACGCCCTGAGGAAGACTACTATAGAATAATAAAATTAAAAATAAAAACTAATATGTAAGCTTATATTTCTTAACCATAGCAGCCTTTTTATCAGTATTTTTCTATATCTTCCTATTCAGTTTGTTCACTCTAATTTTTTATTAAGAACTTTTTTAATTAAAAAAAATTAGTTATACAATTTCGGAAATTTATTCAGAGCAAAAATTATTGTAAAATGATTAAAAATTATAAATTATTGTTTATATCTATTTTGTTAAACAAAAAACGATAAGTAGCAAAACATTAGAATATGCAAAGTAATTTTTTTTTCTTGTAAAATAACAAATTTTGCTTATCATTATATAAAGTTTTTCCAGAACATCATTTAAAGTCTGATATGTTTTTATATGTCACCGAAGACATTCTACAAAAATTTACAAATTTATATACATTTCGGAATTCCCATTTTGGAAGATTAAATGTCGCAGACTTATCACTCTCAAAGTGAAATGAAAACAAATAAGTAGCACTTCTCTATACAGATTCAATAATCGAAATTTATTTACCTTTGTAAATGTACCAAAATATTACACAATAAATAAAAACTTTGTCACAATTAAACATTATATTTAATTTTTACATATATTTCTTGATTTTTTTAAATATTTTGAATTATTTTTTATAATATATATACTATATATTCGACAATATATTTTTTAACTCTAGTGAAACATCACTCACTTTATACTTCAAGATCCGTTTAATAACTAAAATCAATTTTATTTTATTAGCTTTTCAATCATTAATAGTGCTCAGCTCAAAACAGAGAATGATGAACCGAGAGAGGAATACGAAAGCTTTAAAAAAATAAGAGACTGAATATAACAAAACAGACAAGTAAACAGTAGCGTGTTTACCATAGGGCTGCGGTAATATAACCCGGGCGTCGAACTACGAAAAGTAACGCAACCCGTTTCTCTGTGTAATTTTAAAGGCCTTTAATAATTTTTAATCACACTAAGAAAAAATTATAAAAAACCAATATTGATAGGAGAAACAAAAATTTAGACAGAAGAAAGTTGTAGTCTATCGTTACAGCAGCGTTCATAGAATTTTGGGGCAGGGCTTGTTTCTTTTGTTAAGACTTTTGTTAAAAATTTTTTTCGAAAATGTTATGTATAGATGTACTTCGATTTTCAATGTATTCGTGATTAATTTATTAATCATAAAATTGAATTAAATTATTAATTAATTTATTATTTAAATTAATAATTTTTCTTGGCGTGAAGAACATTCGCTTTCCAAAAGAACTCAAAAGAATAAAATTTATCTACGTTGTCTGATAAGCGAAGAACAATCAAAGAATTAAGCAGTACTTAAAATACAAGTAGGGTCCCAAAATAAAAAACAGTTTTTATAAATATAAACAACAACCATTTTTTCATCAATGGTCTTTTGAAATACTTCATGGTTCGTATCAGTAGCGAGGCGTCAGCTTTTTGGCAAGGTGTTCACAATTTAATCAAAACAGAATTCCAACTATAACGTATTCCCCCTACTTCTAAGTTTTGTCCTTTCCACAAGCAAATAGCGTACAAGACCAATAAAACAATTTATTTAAATGTTCGCAGCCTGTGATCCACTGGTTTTTATTTACCATAAAGCTATAGCTGTAGGAAAACGACGACTTACCATAGATTTCGACATTTTTACAACAGGTATCAAATTCTTCATATCTGGAGTTGGTTTATTCATTTTATGAATTAAAATCTTTTTTCAAAAGATCGTTTAAAAAAAGATATTTGAATCAAATCTTTAATCACACATTAATTCATTTCTAAATATTATTTTTCACTTCAAATTTCTTTAATTTTTTTCTTTACTTTTACCATTTGCTAGTATTAAATTGCAATAATGACTTTGTTATTGATTTATTTCCAACCTCTATATAAGAGTAAGAAACTCTCATGCATTCATTTACTCTTTTACTTTGTATTTACAATGCCCGGTTCAGTTTTTATACTGAACCATTTCCCCATATAAAACAGCAACCGTGACTTTGATTGTATTTGCACGCTTTGTATAAACTTTTGGTTCAGTTTAGTGGAATGATCCTCTCGTCAAATGTAAAGCGATTTTCGCTCAATTATTTCTTTTCTCTTTTGTATTTACTTTGCATAACATTGGAAGTGCACTTTTTTTTATTGAACTGCTTGCACGCATTAATTTAAGAGTTAAGATTATTTTACGTACATATATTTGTTTGTATGTTTTGTGTTGTGTATTCAATATTGAACATAGTCCCAATGTGAATGTTATTTCATTTGCATGCTTTGTAAGCAACGCGGTGCAGTTTTAATTTTGAACCTTAGTATATTTTAAGAGGAATGTGTTTTCTCTTTTATTAATTGTAAGTAATGTTGGGTGTAACTAACACATGTGTGATTTTGTTTGTATTCTACATTTTGTGTTTATGTTAATCTGTTTGGAAAAGCTATTATAAAAAATGTTAAGTAGCAATATAGCGAGATTATTTACCTAATAAAAAAAAATCTAAAAAGGAAGCTTTGTTAAGGTGTTCAGTGAACACTCTGAACCATTCGACGCCTCGCCTCTGGTTCGTATATAATTTTTATACTACAAGTAGTAGGCTTAAAACTTTGAACTTGTGATATTAGAAAAGTATTAACTACCTATATTTTTTAACCAAACGAGCCAAAGCTGCAACAAACTTTCGTTATTATAATTCTAAATTTTTTATAACTCCTTAGTCTTTACAACCAAAGCCTTTGTCGTGGTTTTTGATTGGAACACATTTATATGTTAAGCCACATCTTATAAAAATTGTATCAATTTGGAGTGTCTAATTTTAAGATACACGAAGATACTGCTTTTGCAGCGTGACGTAACAAACCAAATCATATAAAGTTTAAAAGAGACTGGGCTACCGATACTATATACTGAAACATTGAAATTGAAACCAAGTATTGTGAAGACCACAGAAATATTGTAGAAAAGGCAAGAAACAATATCTTGAGGGATGCATATAGTAAGGTGAATTATGAACTAGGTGTCAACAATTACTCTTATAAGTAATGCGACGTAGAAACAATAAGGACAATCTTCAAAACCCGTGGCGAGCTACTACGATTATGGTACGTACCGTACGAAAGCCAAGAAAATTGAAGGGCGATGTGATACACTTAGTCGGTGAATGCCCAATTTTTAAAGAACACAGATTACTGTCAATGAACGTACTAATACCGAATGGCCCCAACTGCAGATTGTTAACGGCTTTTATTAAAAATGCATTCAAATACAGGCTAAAGATAATTAAAGAAGATTTTTAAATTAATTTATATAAATTTTGTTATTTTTGTAGAGTAATTTAATTTAATATGTGTATTAAATAATTGAGTTGAGGTCCTTCAGCTTGATTAGAACGAATATAAATATAATTCAAGAAAGCCAATTACCAATTTCTTGTGTAAAATATTACCCCAATAGTTTGCTTTTAAAAAACTTAATGACTACTTGCTCCACCACATGTTTGAAATATTAACTTGTGAAATAATAAATTATATATATAATTATACGAGGGGTGCTATATATATTACTGGCCTAATAATGAAAATGCAAATATTTATTATCAAAAATTGTTTTATTGTTTTTCAAAGTATTCTTAAGCCTGATTTATACACTTTTGCATGCGCTCAAACCAATTGTCGAAACACTTTTTCCACTCCAATTGAGACACTTTCAAAACATGGTTTTTGAACGCTTCAACAGCAACTTCTAGCGACGAAAATCGTTTACCACGCATTTGTTTCTTGATGTGCGGGAATAAAAAGAAATCATTGGGTGCCAAGTTAGGGTTGTAGGGCGGATGACCCATCAATTCGACGTTTTGGCCGGTCAAAAAAGCGCTGGTTTAAGCCGATGTGTGAGAGCTCGCGTTATCATGGTGAACAATGATTTGTCTTCTCTTGTTCGTTTTTCGAATTTCTCCGAAGACTTCAGGTAAACAAATTGTTGTGTACCACTCAGAAGTGACCGTCCTTCGTTGCTCAAGCGGAACAGTCGCCACATGACCAGTTTTGCCAAAGAAATAGACGACCATTTGCTTCGAAGTGTTTCTTCCACTTCCATTTTTTGGCCGAGAACAACACGTTCTGAGTGATGTTATGCTAAAAAATATCAACCTTTTCAATGGAAATGTCAGATTGCACCTGGCAACACTAAGTGTTGCTTAGACCAGAAATATATATATCAGCCCTCGTAATAAATAAACTTGTCATCAATGATTCTAAGCTACATCTCAGTACTGGGTATTACTAGTTTTCTCAGGTCATCAACAACATTTTCTGTTCTACTACTTGTTGAAATAATTGGGTTTATCTTTGCTTAAATGGGTAATATTAGCTTTGCAAACAATGGTTTTTATTTAGCTTTGCAAAAATTATTATAAATTTTAAAATATTACTTAAATATTGTATCATACATTTTAAGCGACACATTTGAAGTACTATTAGTACGCATTTTCATCTTCTTTTTCTAAATTCCAATATTTATTGCTTTAACACAAAGATAACATAATTTGTTCTGCAAATCTATAAATTAAGCTGCACACATACACAAGCATATATACAAGCTCTATTAGTTTATTAATGACATTCAAGATCGATAGCAGAATGTAATAAGTTATAGGTTATACTTCACAGTTTTTGTACAGAATCAATGATTATCTAAAATGAAAGTGGTGATAACAGACATCTTTACCATAGTCCAGGTGAAGTGTTAATCAACTAAGACATAATATCTTCATTCTGAACTCTACATATAAAGCCGACATAACTATTTCTTACTATTTAGTTCATTTTATATTGTAATTAAAAAGTTGTTAATCTTAGCCTGTTCGCGAAACTCGTTAAGGGGATCTAAATTTAGGACCCTATTATAAACAATACTCTAGAACTTGATAGAAATTAAAAGAATCATCAAAAGTCAGCTTATTACTTTATCATTACAGTCTATGATTATTGGTTCCAGAATCGAATCTTAATTAAATGCAATTTTTTGTCTATAACTAAGTGGATTTATACAGTAGTACAGTAGATGAGCAGTTTAAATTTTTTCCAGGAATAATTATATTCAGCAGTTTTGTAACCGCTCGTAGGTCTTGTAACAGCTCTGATTAATGAAATAACCTTTCCGACACGAAAACAATTGAATCATTTCCCTAAGAGATAGCATCAGCAATTAGGTGACTAATTTCTTGTATTTCATATTGGTAGACATTAACAGTATAGAATAAAAGAGATAAAATATTTATTCTTTTTTAATTTATTGACTAAATATAAAATTAAACATACAAGCTTTTATATTAATAATTTTTTTAAAAAATAATATATCTTGTCAATAGATTTTAATGAAATCTACACAATATACATTGCAATATTTCAATAATCATTGGATATATTATAACGTATATATCGGTCTTTTAATTTTTTATATTATTAAATTACATTTCTAGAAGCGTATCTCTTTTAATAATATGTTATATTTATAAAAACAAACAATTTTATATAAATGCAATTTTAATACGCTTATGTTAATATTTTTTTAAATAATTTATTAATTTTATCACATTCTATAAATATTTATAATGTTCTTTTTTGAAGATATCTTCAAAATCTCTCCCAAAATATTTGACATTTGTAGCAGTTACAATATTGTTTGCACAATCTTGTGCTCTTTTAGGTGCATGACTTATAATACCAATTAATTTATAGTATTCTGAACCTCCTTTAGCGATTTTCATGAATACACCACTTCCACTATCACCATGACAAGCAATGCCAAAATTCGCATCAGAAAGACAAAACTTATCGTTAGCCAAACTTGACTCTAAACGCTTACAGTCACCATACGATTTTGTTTCCATGGTAACCCTTTGCAATTCGGGATTATCTTTATTGACATTATCCCAGCCAGCAAAATACACATAAACATTTGAAGGCACTTCACGTCCTGCATTTTCTTCTAACGACCAACAAATGGGTCTTATGACGTCGGTAAACTGTATATGCTCTTCAAGTACCAATATAGCAAAATCATTCTTATACTGAGTTGCTGCTCCTTTGTAACTAATTGCAAAGAAACATATAAAATAAATGTTAGTTTCAGTAAAAGTTATACTCACTCTTCTCTAATTATTATTTTTGTGACATTTCTTTTCTGCACACCATTATTATCATCATCATTGTCAAAGGCTTGTACATACTTGCCGACCGCTACAGCAAAAATGGTTGTATCAACGACACTTTTCGTTGCAAGATCCCAAAAGCAGTGAGCAGCTAAAATAGTTCAATGTCTATTATTATTTAATATAAAATTGTTTCCAAATATATTACCTGAAACTATTAAACGTGGTCCTATAATTGAACCACTACAGATAAATTTATATTCGACAAAATCATATTTTTGATATATGCTAGCATGCCATGGAACACTCGTTACATTAACCTTAATTCCATTTTTGGAATAAGGTACGAGTGTTTGTTGGATCTGACCACAATTCATATCGCATGCGATTCTATTTGTATTCCATTTACCATTATCGCAATCCATAGTATTGTGAAAATTTTTGCCCGGTGGTTCTTCATAAAAATTCGCACAGGTAATATATGCTTTCGTGCCGTCTAATACGGATGTTCTGTCATTACAAAATGCATTTGTAGTAGTGCCGGTAGGTGGTGTAAATCGTACACTAGTCGAATAACCTTCTAACAGTTCTTCTGCATCACAACACTCTTTAAGAAATATTAAAATAAGCTAACGTCTTTGTAAATTGCATTTAATAAAACTTACTTATGCATTTAGGCACTAATTCAGTCCAACCATTCTCACCGCACACACTGTTTCCTACCCCAAGCCGCCAATAACCAGTATTACATTCAAATTTCACTAATTTATTTTTCGATACTGTTGCTCCGCTACGGAAGACCACGGCCATATTCAGGACTTCACGAGCTATCAAATTTTTATCATTCGGAATTTTACACGCGGCAGTATTACTATATACACGCGGTCTTCCGCATAATTGCGCAGCTTCATCAGACCCATCGGCACACTGTTTTACTCCATCACATTTATAAGTGCCTTGTATACAAGCACCATAACCGCAGCGGAATGCATATGAAGGACAATAAGCAACTTGACAAACCTCAACTGACTCATCTGAACCATCACTACAATTAATTGTGCCATCACAAATTAATTGTATCGATATACATTCACCAGATTTACATTGAAATTTTTCATCTGAACTGTATAATAGTAAAATTTTTTATTTAGTTAATGATTTTATACATTCATAACAAAAATATATTATTTGAGGCCTTATTGAGCTTTATTTATCTTTGGAATCATGCTTTACATAACATACTGGCAAGAACGGTTATTTAGACAGTTTAGCTCATTAGAGCCTCTAATGAGGTTAGTTTATCATACAAAAAGCTTTCATATAAATGAGCTTATTATAAATATATCAACTGATTTAAGGCGTAAAATGTCGAATGCAACCCTTAAAAGTACATTTCATACTAGAGAAATTACCAAAATTTGAAATATTTCTGTATATATGGTATATATAAAATGTAAACAAACGAGCTATTTCAGATACATAAATCAATGGAAAGAACTAAATCTTAATTTCATTAACATAAGTAGTTTTAACCGCAGTGGAAACATGATATTACAGTCTCAAGTGTTCAATGCACCTTAATGAAAACGTGAACAAATACAAGTTGAAATCGTTTTCAAGAATAGAATTATAATAAAATGGCTGGATGTTGTTAGAAAATAATTGCACTGTTGTCGGATATTTCTATTAGCTGCATAAAAACTATCGATATCGATAAGCTGGTTTGACAGCTAACAATGTTAAATTGTGTTGACATTTCTGTTTAGTAACATTTCACTAGAACAACGCTTTCAAACTATGAGAATTTGCTTTAAAACAAATAAATTTGTTCGAAAAATTGATAGAGCATTTCGTCCATTTTACGGTCAGTATAATGGCTCCATCAGTAAGCAAAATTCCTGTATATGGATAACCCTCGTGCCGTTAACGAATCCTCATTACATTTATTAAAATTGACTGTTTGGTGCAGTTTACACTCTCGCAGCATCATCAGTCCTTATTTCTTTCCAAATGAGAAAGTAGCTGCCGTTACAGTAAATGACGAGCGCTATCAAGCCATGCTCGCTTAATTTCTGTTTACAAAAATCAATCAGTTAAATTCGACGACATTTAGTTCCAACAAGATGGCGCTACTTGCCATACAGCGCTTAACAAACTATTGCGAAATCAATCTGTGTAAAAACTTTATTTCCAGAAGCGATCGTATTAAGTAGCCCCCTCATTTGTGTGCGATTTAACTGCCCTTGTTTACTTATTATGGGGCTATGTTAAGTCATTGGTTTATGCCGACAAACCAACACAACTCTTGAAGCATTTGAGGCCAATGTTCATGCTACCATTAACGTCATAAGGCCACTTTTTTTTTCAAAAAATAGTCAAAAATTGGATTGATCGAATAGACCTTTTAACTCGTAGCTGCGGTGAATATTTGTCGGAAATTATATTCAAAAAATAAATACCATGAAATTATTTACCAGATTATAATAAAAAAATTTTATTTTATTAATATTCTGTCTTGTGATATCATTTTAAATTCTCATGCAGCTAAAAAAAACACCCGATAGTATCCTATGTGTAAATTTGGTAAGTGATAGTTTAAAATAGTATAATGGGTTAAATAAGACCATATAAACAACCATTAATGTAATACACACAATGAGATGCTATCCATAAAAATTCTAAAGTTTTTTATTTTTATTTCATTCATTGTTATTTAATTATCACTTTTATTATAAATGTTAGTACCTGCAAGTGCCCCGAAAATTTGTAGAATTTTTTTGGCATAATATTGGTAGCTCATCGGAGCCATCTACACAATCTATAATGCCATTACATTGTGAATGTCCCTTAACGCAAGCTCCATAAGTGCAGCGATATGCATAACCTGGGCAGTTATCTCTTAAATGTATACAGTTTTCAGCTGTTTCATCTGAACCATCCACACAATCCATTGCCCCATTACAAAGCTTAGATATATCTATACATTGTTCATTATCACACTTCCAAGATAAAAACTCATCACAATCAGCAAATACTGTAGAAACGAAAAGTAAATAAATATGAGACAATATTTTTTAATTTAAATTAAAGACAATTTTAAGAAGTATTGTTATATACATAACATTGATAACCTATGTTTAATTATTGATGATCTTTAAAACATATAAAGTATTTTTAAAAGTGTTTTAACAGCAATATATTAAATACTTGGGTTTTTCAAACTGCTGATAACTTGTATAGAAAAAGGTACATTTCTGCATAGATAAATGAAACAGTAAATTAATGTCATTTTGAAAGATACACAGCTCTATAAACGATATCCTCCATAACATGCATTAAGGATAATGAACGCAAAACTTGCAGACCATCAGTACAATTTTAATAAAGAAAAAGCACTACCCATAACTTAATTATAGGAACCAAAGTATTGGGCGAGGATAACGTACGTCTTCCAATAATTATATTGGTTTTAAAAAACACCTTTAATTATATATGGCATAGTTGTGCATTGCAAAAATTTGTATATTATAAATAGAAAGCTACTGCTTAATAAGAACCCTATGATAAATCATCAAAGATTAATGGATATGTTTCCTATCCTTTACACCATATTAAAATATTATAAAGAATGATACCATAAACGTATTGCAACAATTTTAATTATATACTAGCCTTTCAAATAAATAATAGATTTGACTAAAAACTTGTTTCAAGTAAAACTCAACTGCCTAGCCAACAAGATCCCCGAACTAAATATAGTAATCTCCTCGGACAGCAAGGCTGCTATCAAAAACTCCTCTCAACGAGCTAGCTAGGCGTGTCAATATTCAGCTCACATGGATGTTTGAACATTAAGACATTCCAAGCAATTGCAGTGCAGACGATCTTGTTAAGGCAGCTATTTTACTGCCTGACATTATTAGTATTGCCAATTTGGCAATCGAACCAAAATTTCTGAATGTAACGAAACAATTTTCTGCAGATAAAAACTTCTGTCACATTTGAAGATCGAACTAGTTTTAACTGGACAAGAAATATGCCAGTTAGCTGCTTCAATTACTGTATAGACGCTGACAAATCACTACATAATAAGAAGACATTCTATAATGCTGAATCTACCGTATAATTACTTTTGTCGGAATTGTGGCTCAGCGGATAAGGAGAAAAACGTACTCCAATTCATGTATCAGAGTCCATCATTGGCTAGGAGAAAATTCAAAATCTTTGAAACCCCTTTTTTTACTGACCTTATAGGGTTGCCATCCTGTAAAATTACTTAGCAAAGTTTATGGACTTGTCAGTTTGGTTCACTTTTATTTGAATAAAGAAGTCATTGTTGCTAATTATTGATATCACAACGGGCGTTTATTTTAGCTCAATTGGGCTTTGAACACTGGTCCATCTCTCCTAACTTATCACTTAATTAGTAGAATTATATCCATCAAGAATAGTCGACAAACAATATAGAGCTTTGATGTTAGTTAGTGATTATATCTACATGTTATATATAATATTTTGAATTTCTTCTGACTGAAAACAGCATTTAAGCTAAAAAGGACAAAAGCTAAAAAAAACACAATTAGTTCTTGTGGCAAATATTCTGAATTTCAATCGAAGCAAAAGCAAAGTTTCTCACCTCATCATAACCTGATTCTAATGTACTGGTTTACTCTACCGCTTTGGCTGATATGATAGAATGTTATTGCCAATTAAACAAGGTACATCAATCGAATAGACGTACAAAGTGTTTGCAAATATTCATTAATTGATCAAAGAAACACAAATCATTTAGTAAAATCCTGTTAGTGGTTAACAGGTGAGCCTGGATAAAGAGAAAAATCGGATCTTTCTTTTTTTTAAATGTCTGCAGGGTTATTCATCTATCTTAAAAGCTGAGAAACTAACATGTATTGAAATAGTCAAACAGAGAAGTTTATTATTATAAACAAATATCGAAATAACATGTCGTTTACAAAAAAATATACAAATCGAACATAAAATATATGTGTAGTATTCTTACACATCCCGGAAAAGTTTTTATATATTATATTATATTACATATTTTAACAATATATTACCAAAAACTTGAAGCTGAAGCTTCATTTATTACAATAAATGTCATTTCCAATAATATGAATTATGATAAATACAACTATTGTTACACTGGGATCATAATACTAGACTTATTAAATTTAAAATGTAATGTTTTGTTTCCTTGAATTTTGCAGTGAATAAATTGGGTTATTATTTATTCGTAATAAATCGAAATGAACAACTTGAACGCATCTATATAAAATATGTTTGTTGAATTTAGTATAATAAACCAAGATCAGCTTGAAGATATTATAAGTTTCGGTTTTAATTATTGCAAAATGCTTCTAAAGAACATCATAAACAATAATGTTACTCAATAGTCCGTAAGGCCCTCCCTGCAGGTGTGAAAGTATAACAAAGACAATACAAATTCTTCGAATAAATTTTTCTAGTTAAAAAAAGTTAGAGAGAATACAAAATGCAAATTTTCTCTGATCTTATATTACATGAAAGATTTCATATAAGATCTAAAACTGAATCATATACTTAGTGAGTACAAAATTATTATAAAAATTTTTGTTATTGTTCTCCTGTGTACAAGTTCAAGAACTGACTGTTATTTAAAACTGGTTGTATTATAAATCTTTGGGTATATACAATCTTTAATCAAAAAATAGAATTTGGTGAATGAAGAAATTTTTTTTTATTATAATTCATTCTGTTATCAAAGTTGTTTACATTTTTTTTGTGTTTTTGTAGTTTCTCATGTCTATAAACTCTATAATCTCATTAGTAAGGTTGATCTCTAGAATTGGGTTTTTTTCTAATAGCAATTGCAACGTTAATAAAACGTTTTTAATACTTACCTGTTTTAATATAAAACAACAAACAGAGCAGTAATTTCAATTGTAGAATTGATATATTTTTGTGACTTTTATGATTAAAAATCATTTTTCAAATAATTAAAAATTATTTAAATTAAATCACACACGCATTTATAAAATTATTCGGTCGAAGTATGCGATATTCACTTCACTTCACATTCTCGATGAGTGTTAAACCGAAGACTAAACTTGAATTTCATGTTGATCATCGTCCTAAGTTAAGGTTAAGATTAAAATAAAAAGTTTTTGTTGAGAGCAAACATTGAATCTGTAATTGATAAGCTGACATAACACGCTACACTCGGTCTTAATAGCTGCAGCATCTCGGTATATGAAAAATGAAACTAACATGTTTGTCGGATTGTAATAAGTATGAATATATAATGAATTATTATTTTTTAAAATTATATTCAATAATTTTTTCAACATTATGAATTGATTATAATATTATAATAATAAATATAATGAGGTTATAATAACAAGAAACCAGTGTTAGAAAAAGTTTCAAAACTGTAATAATATGCTTACAATGTTTATATCAAGACTTTAAACCAGAACTGAATCATTTAGTTTATTGTTCAAAATAAACGATTTTTTGTCAGAGCAAAAACCAAAACGAACCCAGCATATGTTTTTATTGAACACGAACTTACAAATTTCCGGGTCGTATCCCAGGTTTGCACTTACAAATATCAAACCATATTAGCATTTGTTACTGAACGTTTATCGAGTTAATTGCAAACGAAGTGTTAGTATTTATTGCTGATCATTTATCGAGTTAATTGTAAATATAGTCTTATACTGGATTCACACGAGAGTTTTGATTGTAATTTTATCGGTCATTTCAAACTATTCTTAATTTCGATAGCAAATATATTTTGTGAAAGTAGCTTAAAAGTGTGAACATATGATACTTTACTTTTTGATTTTAGATGTCAGTTTGATATTTTTGACAGCTAAAATTAAAATCAAAACTCTCGTGTTAAACCAGTATTAGTTAACAAAAATGTTACTGCATTTGTGTTCTGCTCCAAATTACGGACATAATATTCTTGAGTAAGGATATTAACTACTTTCATTGCAGAAATGTAAATTTATATATAACCTATATCAAGAAGGGAATATATATATAATAAATTAAAATCGAAATTAATTACAAATAGCACACAGGCAATAAATTAGTGATAACTGTTATATATATTTTTAAGATAAATTATGATTGGAAATTGGATTTTAAATTATTTTGGGGTAAGGATTTCATTCGGTTTTAAAATTTTTATTTAAATTTAATCTGTAGAAAAGAGATTTAGTAAATGCTGACCATAAGTCAATATAATTATGTTTTTCACAAGTGATATGTACCGGTTTATATATATTAATTAACAACATAATCATTGAAATTTGATTTTTAATAATTTATTAAAAACATTCAAAATAACTTACTTACTACTAACTTACTTTGCCTTCGTAAGAACACACGAAAAGCTTTCAATTCAAGAGAGTGTTCTGAAATAACCATTGCCAGAAAGCATTAAAAAGTGAACCAGATTAGCTAAACTGCTTGTTAAAGTTCATTCTTTACCCTCCCTCATTAATGAAGAAGATGGCAGTCCAGTTAAATACTTAACTGAGTCACGCTCGTTATTAGTAGATACCCATTTTTTGGCTGTTTCGATGATCCCATAAAGGTACTACCCTATCGCCCAGCCAACTCTGATAAAACTATACAGTCAGTGGTATCTTTAAGAAGAATCAAATGGGTAGTCGACTTCTTTTTTCCATGTAAAAGTTCAGGTCCGGATAGGATCTTTTCAATTATACTATAATCTCTAGGAGTCTTAAATTTTAGCTGAAAGATTTCTGAAGCTTAGGAAACATTCAGAAGTCACATGGTGTTCAATCAGGTGAATCCCATGTTGTGGGACGATATGAGCTGGAGTTGTTTGAGAAATGTTCTCGAAGAACCATGGTTGTGGAACGATATGAGTTGAAGTGGTTTGAGATTTTTCAGCTGTTCACAATTTAGACTAGTGACACTGGACTAGTACTAATACTAGACTACAGATACCTATTGAACAAAATAAAATATGTGATTGGTCCTGTGTGTTTCCATTTATATCATGTTTTATTTAATTTTATATTAAAATTAAATACTTTATTAATATTAAGTACATATGTTTATATGTAATTTTTTTAATTTCTCTTTATGTATGCTATACTTATAACCTTCAATTCATCCTCGTCATTGTTCTGAAATTTTTAAAATATTTTTTTTTTACTTTTTTAATTATTTTATATTATTTAAAATTGTTTTTTTTTATAGTACAAAATAAAAGAAATGTGTAGATTTAAGACTTTTAATAATTTCTTAACATATTAGTCTACTGTAATAAAATATTGTGCGCCAAACAAATATGCCAAGTATATTTTTGAGATATTTTCAATAAACAATTAAAATTTATTTATGATGTAGTTAAATGTTTTATTATTGTTGTAGTAGGAAAAGGTTGTAGTACTATATAATTAAATGTTTAATTATATTACGTTTATCTTACTATTGTTTTTTTTATAATTCAGTACATTATTTCTGTAAATTATAAATTTTGAAGTATTATTCTCAATCACCTCTAACCATAATTTTTTTAATAATTTATAATATATTTAACATATATAAGAAACTTTTGTCATTAATATTTAAATTTGATGTACAACATTATTCAAACTTAATAACTTAATTTACCGTAACAACTAAGTCTTTAAAATTATTTTTGGTGTACTAAATAAATAAAAAACAATATCTTATATCAAACATTTTTAAACATTCTTTCTCGATATTAATTAAATTTCTAATAAATTATTTATTAAATAAAAATACAATAAGAAAGTATACACAATAAGAAACAAAATAAATGTATTAAGATAATAAACTCTAAATAGCTTAAATTCTATAAATTAAGCAAATTAAGACAATTATAAAAGTAATAAATCTCATAATTCAAAACTACAGACCTCAATTAGTTCAATTACAGTCGAATAGGGGGAATTGGACCCAATTGGATCCTGACAATCACTGGACATGCGCAGTTAAGGTGAACGGCAATATTCACGTTATACCGAACCTACCAAATTCAACTTTGAAAGTTGATAGTTTACTTGAAAATCTACAGCTAGGAAACCAGATGAGTGAAAATATCCCTACACGTTATACAGAACCTGCTAAAATCAACTTTGAACATTGATAGTTTACTTGAATGTCTACAGCTAGGAAACCAGTGACTCATCTGAACTCAGATAAGCTTAAACCACGAAATATATCATCATTTGCCTTATTATTTTTGTGCTTAATTATATGAAATATGTATGTAAATTATTATTTGCAGAAAAAGGAAAAATGTTTATGTAAAAAACAGAAAAGTGGTTGTGAGTCCTAGAAGCAAAAATGGAACTTTTAGGTATAATTAAATATTGTACTTTCAAAATCTCGCTTTAGTATTCAAACTATTTTCAATAACATATTAAATTTATTAAAATTATTTGTATATACACATTATAACATTACTTAAATATTAGGTATTACTATATTAACATACATCAATGCATATATTATAATTTCCATAGTTGGTAAAGTAATACCTTTCGATAATGCTGGAAACCAAAAAAAACTAAAATCTTGTGTATCATATGTAAAAATTTTTATGGATAAATCTTAAATTCACTTTTCTCCATAATTAACAATTTTGCTTTCCAATGAATTCATCTAATTTTATTAATAAATAAATATAATCTTTTATATATAGACAACTATTTGTTCCAATGCTGTGAATAATATTACTTTCTATCCGATATTACTAACTTATGCCACATATTCTGTTATTTGCAATCAAATATTTGCATTCAATGAAGACCGTCTGATAACCCTATACACTTTTAATTATGTATTATATGTATATATTTATTATATTATAATGAAAATCACTATGATGTATACACATTTGTTAATTCAAAAATTCTTAAGTTTATAAAGCAAATATTTATGGGCAATCGATATCTTATAATAGCAAACATCTCAGCATGCATTTACTTTTAACAATATATGGGAATTTGATTTAATTAGTACAGTTCTCAGTTTATTCTAATAATAACATTTTTAAAATATGTATATCAGCATTAAAATTTTATTAAATTAATTAAAAAAAAACAGAATATAATAATATCAAATTCCATATGCAGTTACATACCGATAAGTTAATATATTTTTGTTCAATATTCATATAACTACTTAATGCTCTAGCGTTTTATAATAATAAAGCACATTATTTTCCTTGCTGCTATTTTATAGCATTTTTATAGCATTGTGCTCAAATCACTAAAAATACTAAACGCTCTTTTCGCTATGCGCATCCAGTGAATCTCATTTCCAGCATCCAGAAATGCGCACGTCTCGCTGTATATAAGATTCAAGAGCTCGCGAATTTTATAATGTGGAGTCAAAGTGCTAATTTGTAGCACAATGAATGCGATTTGGGCACGGCCAGACTGAAGTGTTGGGATTACAATGTAAAAGGTGCGCTATTTGCAAGGGAACGATGTTTTTCATTGTACCTTCGGAGGGTATTAATAGTTTCAATAAATCGGCTGACTGCTGGAAGCATTACGGCATGTAACATGTATATGTTGTATATAGAATATAATATATTACAAATATAATGCTATGAACATGTTAAAATATAATGAACCCACTAATATTATACATATGCATTTTTCATAGATTTATTTATCATTTGTAAAGAACATGAGAATTATAATTGCATTGAATTATATTGCAATAAAACCAAATTTATATAAGCTCGTTCAATATAGTATAATCGTTTTTAATGTTTATTATATATTTATCGGTAAATTTTAGTGCATATGTTTAATTATCTTTTAAAATCGGAAAATTGTGAAAATTTTAAATGCCATCACAATGAGCTTTTAGACTATAATAATTTTGCTGATAAAAATTTTGCTGCTGTTTACATGTTATTATAACATATATATTTATATATACATATATATTTTTGTATAAAGCATTTATTTTAATATTTTAGAACTTTTATATTACAACTTTAACATTAAAAATAATTTTTAAAAAAAGAACATATATAGTGCAAAAGCTTTTAGCAGTGTAATCACTTCTACTGAAATTTTATTGATTCAAGCCTGAATTTATGTTAAGAACATCTGCATTTTATATATGGATTTGCCAGACTAAATTCTTTGTAACATTGAAGATGTCTTAATTTATGATGTATAATAATACACATTAATAATAATTATTATATGTATGAAATAGAAAATTTTTCTACTCCTCAACAGTTTTATTTTATTTGTTTGACTTTTGATATATGTAATTAAAAAAATGTAGTTAAAGATTTTTACAGTATTTGTAAACAATAATATAATGAACTAATTATAATTTTATATATTTTTTCTTTTACATGAAAATTATAACAGTAGAATGAATATATTCGTTTCCAGAAGAAGGGAGCTTCAGCTACTTAAGTCTTACATTGTATATAACATTTAATTCTAATTATTTCGTTTTTTCCTATTTTGATTCGGAAAAAAATCATACTTCAAGTATTTTTTAATATTATTTATTAATAGTGTTTATTAATATGAAAAAAATTTACATATTTCTTAAACCAATCAACAGTAGTATTAAAAAAAACTTTTACGGTGTTTTCAATAAATTTAAATTTAAAAACAAAAAATTTTTTATATATCTTTATGATAAATAAAAATTAAAAAAAAAACTCCACCAGTCTGTAGATACGCCCAACATTATGCTGTGTTGATAAATTTTTATTATTTATTTATCTTAATTAGTTTTAAAAAAAAATCTTTTTTCTTTCAAGAATTTCAAAAATTTTTCAAATAAAACCGTCCTTCCGTATAACTTGCCTCAAATTATGCCATGCATTTTTTTTTATAAATAAGTTAATGAATTTTATAAAGGAACCCAATTTCATTATTAAATTTATTTAAATTTATGTAACATAATATATTCAGTTACACGCTTTCCCCTCTCCTTACCCTTTCTCAAATAATTCATCAAAATTAAAGAAACCCCTTTATTCACTCCCACTTTTTCGCGTTACGTATTACCTGAACGACCTCTTATGGTCCAAGAATATTTTGAAGTGAACCTAGATTTTGTATGATATGGATTTAATTATGCTATCATAATTTTTTATGGCTTCCATGGCTAAGAATTAAAACAGACTATGAAAAAATCCGATTCTTGAGATTTTAAAAATTCAATAAAAAGAGTAGAAATATTATAATATCAGAAGAAATATTATTAATTTTTCATGGAGTATCACAAAAAAATTATATCATTATTGATATACTTTCGGATTACTCTTACAAACCTAAAATTCTTATAATCATCTTTTCAGATTTAAATAAGACATAATAAAAATAAAAATATAACCTTTCACTAGGTATAATCAATAAGTTTTTAAACTATTGGAAAAAACAGACAATTAATTAATTAATTAAGTTGTAAATATTATTATATTCACTCCAATAAATATTCACACTCTTTAGCAGTTATGCAGTTATTTTTATATTATGTTATATATTATAAGTATTTTCTTTCTATTATTAGAAAGTTATAAGCATACCAAAAAGATGAAAATACTACTAAAGTATTATTTAGCTGTATACACAATCAAAACTCAATAACTCTCTTTCAACTCCTGTATTTTTCACAATTTATGTTAGTGCTATGTACTAACTTTCACTCCTCTACAAAAAGCTGGCTTGATTTCAATGTTACTCAATGTAATGAATGTCCTTACAAAAATTTACAGCAAAACAGTAGAAAAGTCTAACGAATTGGAGAGAATTACAGCAAAACAGTAGAAAAGTCTAACGTTACTAATACAGAATATACCAAATGGGCCTATGAGAAATTAGTACATTCAAGAATGATTTTAACGACCCAAACTTAAAACTATCAAAGGAATGAGTCTGTATGAGTCTATACAGAGAACAGAGATAACAAGATATCACAACAAATATTTTAAAGTTTTCGGTAACAGAATCGATAAGGAAGCAATAGCAGGAAGGGTTCAAAACATCGGAAGTTCTCTATAATAAACGTATCTCTTCTCTATTGGGGGAATCAAAAAGTGGGGAAATCACTTATCTTTCATAATATAAATGCTTGAAAGTCAATATTACGAATTCGAAAACTGTTCTATAGAAAACATATAACTCCCCAATAATTTTGTCTCAAACCAATAATACAGTTTCAAACCAGTATTCTTACGTATATAAAACACATAGAACTGGAACTTAACATTTTTTCCATTATATTGCTTTATATCTAACATATGCATTATCACTTTGTATGAAAAATTCTAAATTCATGAAAGAGTCAAGAGTTAAAATCGAAAAATGAAATGCGGTGTAAATATATGTGTATATAATATATATGTATTTAATATTGTAATATATATATATTTCTGTTATATATATATATTTTTTTGGTTATTTTAACAATAGAACTAAAATATATAAAATCATTTTTTAGCATGTGCCGGGAGTTCAAGATTACTATTCCCTTTATAAATTGCTTAATTTCTAATACTTCTTTCAAAAGCAATATTTATTAAAATTAGAGAATATAGACATTAACAAATTTTTGTACATTATATGAATATTATAAGGATGGGACTGAGCGTGTTTTTAACTAGCTTTAAGATTTTTAGTCATTTTTTATGTACACTGAATAAAATAAATATAATTATTTGTAATTGTTAATACTCATATAGATGTGTGTAGTTAATACTGTAGTTATTACTGATATATTCTTTTTAAGGTATGATTAGCTAAGTTTATATACAAAAGCTAGCAATAATTATAAAATTCTATAGAAAACTACTGAGAATATCTCTTTATTCTGTTATTATATTGTCTTACTAAATGGGCGGTAGTTGTATATTTTTCCTGTGTACTTATATATTTGCTATGAAAATGACTAAAGAAATCAAAGTTTTTCTTAGGATTTCCATGTACTGAGAATATTTCTTTTTACTGTACTTAGTTACTAACTGTGGACTTCTATATTTTTGGCTTATGCATAGCTTTTGCTAAAGAAGCTCACTTCTTCCATTTTTTTTCGTAATCCATACGTACATTTAATAATCGATTATGATATATATATTAAATTTTTATTAACATTTAAAGCATGAAATAAAAAAATAAAAAACACATCTCAACTAAAATATAATTACAATAGTTTTAAATTATTTGTTTTTCTTTGATTAGGTGGAAATAAGAGTATTTTGTTGCTGAATCCTTACATATATATGTATTTATATATATGTTATTATTTAGATATATAAATACATGAGTATCTATAATAAATATTTCTTACGTTTATATATATATTTCTCTAAATTTTCTAATATATTTAAAGTAATATTATTTATGCACTTACAATGTCTTCTTACAGTGATGTAGATTATACCAAACAAAAAGTTTTTTTAAAACTAAATATCAAAAATAATATCATAAGTATATATAATATATATCATAATTAATATTATATTATTTTTAAATGCTTAAAATAATGATATTATAAATTTTTATATTATTTCATTGTTTATATCATCAATCTGTTACTTGGTTTTAATTTTATTTTTATTTTAATTTTATTTCGCTACAACTAATTTTAATACCAGACCACAACACACTTATAAATATTGTATATATACGTATATACATATATATATATATATATATATATATTTAGCATTTTATATACGCCAACTGTTTTTTTAATAATATATACTGCCTATTATTTACTTTAATTATTTAGAATAATTTTAAAATTCTTTGGTTAATAGATTATTTTGTCATCGTTATAAATACATTAATTGCATATATTGTAATATTTGTAATAGCATATATATTTGAAGATATTTCTTTATATATATATATTGTATATATATTTTTAATTTCATTATATGAATTTTGTGTTTGTGTTGGTTTTCTGCTGGTTTAAAATGTGCCACCTAAATTTTGTTTTTCATCTTCTAAAAATTTCTGCTCTAAATTTTACAACAAATTTCAAATAATCGACGATTTTGTTTTAAATTTTTTTTTTTACTCGTTCAGTTTGTGCCATTCTGCAATTTGTCTTCTGGGAGAATTGCAAACTTCGTTCCAATGATTTAAGGCCGTACCGCCAGAATTTGGTCCACCAAGTTCGAGTCTGCCAATAACCTGGAAAAAATTACAGTTTTAGAAATCATAAAATTCGTTAAACAGTTTTCAATAAGAAAATGCAAAATTCTTAGATTAAAATTCTTATTAGATTCTAAAATTCAGTGAAATAGAGAGTGAGATTTGAAGCCACTAAAACCACTTTCCATAGTAATGTGGAAATTTCATTCAAGTAATCAGGGGAGACATATTGAGCAAGAGGCCTAATACCTAGCGGACTAGGTTTATCTAAACCAGTGTCGCTGCATATTTATATAGTTAGCTCAGAATGAGGAAATACATATAGAGGTTTTTCGAATACTAATGTTTAGAGGTTTTTCGAATAAATTCATTTTATATAATTTAAATTAATAGAATTTTGGACTGATCATACAGCTGTTTCGAGTATTGCCAAATACCCATCATCAGTGGTATTGGAAATAATTCTTGTATTTAATTATACGTAAATAATTAATTGAGACTGCAAGTATCAGGAATTGAACTCGTACCCTGCCAAACTTGCTGTGTTTGTATAAGAACGAAATCATAAATCAGCTATAGTATAATTGAATTAATTAATCATAATTATATTTTTAATTGTTAAATTTCAATACTATTCTGTTTGTAAAAATATATATTGAATGGAAACTCTCGTTAGGTCAACTAGCTTCATTTTACGTTTTCAGTATCTCCAGCAGCTTTAGATCCATCGGCTGAAATTAAGGACATCTATTACGCAGCTGAAATGGTAAATTACTATAATCTATAGTAAATTATACTATAGCAATGTTTACATTTACACAGATAGCTGCTTCGAGTTCTAGAGACGATATGAAGAACAATAAATATGTGCCACTTATCTCTTAATGAGATACATGAAGCAAACAACAATTATTTAATATGCAGCAGGGAAGCATATTTAATGTAACTTTGTGAAAAACTGTACAACTAATGAGCTGACTATACTCAGCACTTTCCTCTCGGAAATGATAATAACATTAAAGCTAAGAATCACGTCTGTATTACGTCTGTATGATGTTATCATACAAAAAATAACTTCAAAAGTAGAAAACGGCTAACCGATTGAATGAAACGATAATAACATTAAATCTAACAATCACGGTAGTTTCCTTTCAAGATGTTATCACACAAAGAAAAAACTTCAAAGGTAGAATGAATTTGCAGAATGACAGGTCAGGGTGTGGTGTGATATCGCATGAGAGAATTTCTTTATTTTTGGGATTTAAATGGAGAATTTATTGTCACATATGATATTTTAAACACAACGAAAATAATGAGATAAAGTACTCTGGTATATATGCACATAAATTTATTATAAATATTCCTTGCTCAAAAAAATTTTTCTATGTGATTTATTCAAAATATTCTATACCTTTCTTAAACTTAACTTAAAATCATCACAGGAATCTAAAAAGGACACAGTAAACTAAAACACCACCTCACGAGACTGGGTATATATACGGATGCTAACTGTAGATTCTGCAAAGAAAATAAAGAGTCAGCCACACATGTGCTTTTAGAGTATCCTGCGGTAATGCACACACGGAATAGACTCCTGGTTATGTATACCCTTGCGAAAGAGGCTATAAAACTCTGTTTTATTGAAGCAGCAGGGCTAAGACTAAGAAGGGGGCACAATTGACACATTGGTCGCAGAGCCACATCCCTTCTTAATATTAAATAACAATAATACTTGTGCTCTTTAACTCTTTATAATTATAATACTTCACTGAATATAATAATCTTTGTACCATGTTTATCTATGTTACCCATATAAATGAAAAGCAATATAAAAAACACTCACTTCGTTTTTAGTGACGCGATCCCAGTCAAGTAACATTAATTCAAGTGAAACGCCATCAAGTGTAGCCCCCGAACCCTGTAATAATTATAAGGTTTATGTATAAATTTGAAAGTTATGAAATTCATTTCTACTCACCTCAGCAGCTGGTATATCGAACGCAAAACTCTCATTGAAGACTGGACTAAGAGTACGTTTCTTGACATGAGTTTTTTTCTTAGCAATACGTTGACCATTGTAGAGTAAATATATTTTAACATAAGGATCGGCCAAACCAGTGACATCCATGCGTGGTAGATTACGTGCCTTCAAGAGAACTACAGTCAAACGTCCAGCAGCTGGTTGCCAGCAAAGAGAAATCAACAATTCACCACGTCCCTGTGCGCGTATCTTTAAACTACGTGGTTGTATTTCCTTGCTAATGGAGAGAGCTTCCTTTGATATGTCACCAATTTCAATCGAAGATAATGGACACACAACTTCACCAATAACATCATCACGTGAATAACGATCAAAGCTCAGTATGACAAAATGCAACGACATGTTTTGTAGATCATTGATATTGAGACCATAAAAAGTAAAGTCTTCATCGTAAACAGGATTGCGTGTATTACGCACAACACGAGTTTTTACTTTGTGTTGTTTCTCTGGCAATAATTGCAATTTTACATAAGGATCGGTTGCAGCTTGTGTACGTCCGTTCACTCCATTTGGTATATCACCACCACCCTTGCAGGGCAAACCGCGGCAACGTATAATCGAAACCATAAGTGCATTACGTTCAGCCAAATAGCGCAACTTAAAATAGATGGTACCAAGTTTTCCATATTGATCAGTATTGGGGATGTCCTTGCCATTACAAACTATTGAATCCTCCATATGGTTTTTACCGTGTATAACAGTAGGGCTTTGTGCTTCGACGGGAGACAATTTCTGTTCGACATTTAACTTATTTTGCTTTGGTTGCACTTCATCCTCTTCAACATATTTAATGGTTGGTGCTGAAATTGGTGATGTTGTTTGGTCTTGCATAGGTTGTAGTATACCCAACTGTTTGTTGCCTGTCGGTGATGGTGATTTTTTTAAATATTGAGGTGGTTGCCCACTTGGAGACCGAACAGCAGTCGGACGACGTGTTGGTTGAAATGGAAATGTTGCATCATGTTGATTTTGCTTTTTATTACGGGCACGCATTTGCTTGGCACATACACAAGCTACTGCTGATAGAACAGCAGCCGCCGTGAGACCAAGAATGGCTGGAAGTACTGAAAAAGAGAGGGAGACAGAGTAGACGAATAAAATATTATAAATTCATAAACCTTTATTTTAACGACAAGCATATACATATGTAACTATGTTATATCAATAACATAACTAAGACCATAGTTGGACTAACTAGCATATCGTTCAATACCTTCTTTGATCGCTTTTACGTATTACTAAAATCAAATTGTTGTATTATTGTTATAAAAGCCTATTTTTATATTGAATCGATCAGTTATCTATGTTTTTTGTATGTATAGTATCAGTGGCGTAACTACATTTTTTAGGCCTGTAAGCAAATTCTAACTAAGGGGCCCCTACCAACATACTAAGGGGCCCCTCTTTTTATACTGTTTACACGAAAAAATGTGAAAAGGATATATAAGGTTTGTCAAGATTTTCGTAACGCATTAAAAGAAACGTCGGAAATACCATTAAGTATATATCAGTACAATATATATATACTTTTTCAGTTCAAACTACTCTCTCAGCTTTTGAACTCTTCGAATGAAACTTTACACACATACTTTTCGGGAGCCGACCCTTTTCACCATTTGATTTGATTGAAATTGGACGTCTATTTCTTGTAGCTGTGATATAAACTTAACAATCGGAAATGAGGTTTCTCCGTTTTTAATAAAGGTGTTCAAATGGAATTTGATGTATACAGTACTGATATTTGCAAAAGACAACGTACAAAATTATTTTCAAATGGATTTAAATCTAGATATAGCTTCCATATAAGTCTCTCGATTAAGACACATATTTTTTTTAGAAAAACTTTTTTATTTTATAAATAGGTTTAATATTTTATTTGAACTACATACATATTATGTACTTTAAATTTAAAATTTACGTATCTTTTATAAAATGCAATATGAAGTTATTCCAATAAAAAACGTTTTGTCCCACTTTTGAGAATTTATTAAAAATAAATACAATGAATACAAACATTTATAGTGGGGCCCCCTAAATTCGGGGGCCCGAAAGCGTTGCTTCCAGTTGCTTCCCTGTAGTTACGCCACTGTATAGTATTGACTATTGGGTTTAAAAACTCGGAATAATAACTTTGAAATTGGCATGAAATTTTTTTATTATCTTCTCTACTGTAATTCGTAATAAATCTTTACCTTACGAGAGGGAGTTTCAACTAGTAACAAGAAAAAAATCTCCAGGCCATATTAACCAAATAGACCGAATTGGTTTTAAAAGTAAATATTTTTCTGTACTGTAAAGAAAGTAAAATATTTATAGAAATATAGTATCAAGTGGAAAAAAGATAAGAGAAGGCGTAAACTCTAACAAACCCATTAGTTATCTAAAGTGATTGCTGAAGCTAAGTCTTACAACTCAACATTTAGATTTTTATGATAAAATAAATATTTCGACATTCAAAAATTTCAAGAATTCTAATTATAAATAGAAATAGAAAATTTATTAGTATTATTACAAGAAGAGAAATGACCTCATGCCAATATAGAATAATGGTGAACTGATTAAATCGCATTGCTCAGATTACTAAACATCACTAAAACATCAGAAATCATCTAATGGCAACATTTAAATTAATAGAATATAGGTATATTTTTTTTCTTGACGTTATTTGTTTGAAATCTCTTTTTAAAAAACTATCAAATGAGATTGCGATTCTATAATATTATTTTAATCCATTTTGGGACTTAGAAAATTTAAAAATATTAATCATGATGTATTCTATTTTGAAATTTATCATTGAAAACGCAAATAATATTTTATGAAAGGCTTATTAGATATTAGACCTCCACCACTGCTAAAAGATGAAGTACTACTCATTATGATTTTTGATTATTTTTTTTGTTTTTTGTTCAGCTTTTATAAAATAATGACAATAACCCATAAAATTCGTAACTTAATTTACTGAAATTTTTAAATATTTCGAAGATTACATTCAGTAAGAAAGATTATGCTAGATTACAGTGACAATCACAAAAAATTCCAATTTATTTAGACAGACTGGTTTACTATAATTAAGCCCATTTGTAGAAACACATAGTGAAAGAGGGCCTAATGAAAAAAATACCAGAAATTTTTATCTATTACATTTGGAATAAATTCCTACGAAATTTAAGTTAAAAAGGAATATTTTGTATATATTTATTTATTAACAAACAAAGAAATCGTAAAAAACATTAATACTCTTTTTTTATTCAACAAAATTATATTAGTATGCATCAGCTATTTCTATAATATCAGTACTTCTTGAATTTTTTCTTCCCACTCTTTTAAAAACATCCATTTTAACTTCTTGTTTTTTATAAACGTCTTTATTACGTTGATATTAATATCATTTAAGATACTTATTAGAGTTGATATTCTTAAACTTTCATATGCTTGGATGACACCTTAAATAAGTTTTTAGCTCCTCAGTTGAAGCAGAAGAGAATAATTTATATACGTATGTACATTTTAAAAATAATCTTGATACATAAATTGAGGTCTTAAGTTGCGCACCTAGAACAATATCTATCTATCATTAACCTATCCTATCTATTACCTATCTACTAATAATGAATTATGTAAACATTTTGATCCTTAAATACAACTTCAAAGTAGATATTAATAACATTAAATTGTTAACAGCTAAACCAGTGATAGGCGGGCGTAAAACAATAGAGTTGATGTGGCGTGTACCTATCATACATTATTTAGGCTGAATTGTATTATCTTTGGCTTGTTTGCTTATAGTGCAAAAGCATATTAATAAAGCAGTAATGGGTCAAACTGGCCTGCAAATAACTAATATGAAAGACCCTATTTGAAGAAAGAAAAGCTGTCGTGTAGATGCATGCTAATAATAAATATATGTTATATACAATATCTGTTATAAGAAGATTGAAATAAAGTGTATCTTAGAAATAGCTTGCTGATGGTCAACGATTCTTCACATACGTATATGTACATGTAGTTGGCTAACATCACTTGCATAGCTATTGGAACATTTGTCCAATTTATGTATTAAAAAACAACCATATAAAATTTATTTATCAACTTGGTGTTGCTATTTTCGGGTAACTATGTTCTTCTTAATAAACAATAAAGGACTTTTATCAATAACTATAATTGGCATTTTCATCAAATTTTGTGTGTGTATCTTTGAACAACAACCTGCCTCCTACATAATGTAGCTTTTTTTAACACCCCTTTATTCTATTTATAATAAATAATTTTATTTTAGATATTATTCACAGTTCAAAAGTGTGTTTATATTTTTAACTAGATATTACGCTAACAGCTTGATATGTATTTCAAGTTCTATATATTAGGTTAAATATATTAGATTTCTTTTAATAATAAACACATTAGTAGAAACTGGGCAATGAAACACTCTTAATTTTAATTTTTAAATTGGAAAAGGGGAACTCCAATGATACCTTTCATATCTGTATAGCTGGTTAAATATTATGCATTTATTAAATAATAAATAGTTAAAAATTAATAGTGTTTAAATTTAAAAATTGTGTGTTTAAGTACTGAAACTATTATTTAAATTAATTATTTGAAATTACTTACTTGTTTCCATTGCGCCCATATCGGGGCTATATTCATCACCCATCGCCTCTGCTTTATATTTATAGACCAGTTAAAATTTAATAAAATTCCTTATTAGTCAGCAGTCAAATTATATGCCTTCTCGTCTAAAAATCTCGGTTATATTGTGAAAGCGTAAAAAAGTAGCTGTGGGATACGTAAAAATTTGCAAATAAATCGACGTTATTGATTTTTCACGTAATGTAAACTACGTCTTCGCACTGCAGAGGAAACTCAACCCCTTGCACACGAACCGTTTAGGACGACGTAAGAGGAAAACACCAAGTATGAATCACACAATAAATTTTTTCTCGCATATATCTATACACATATATGTATGTCTATATGCATATGTATGGAAATATAATAATGCTTCTGGTATTTTTAAGAAATAATTTTCAAGTTCAATGAAATTCTTTTATGAGTTTCTTAGCACTTTACCGTTAATAAAATTCAAAATTCTTATGCAAATTTATTTACAGTGTAGTTTTTTAATTCGAAAATTAAGAAAATATGTTCTTATATTTTAATTTTTTATAACTTTTTTTTTATCCTTAAACACAAAAAATATGTTTGCTACAGAAAAATTAATTATATTTTCTACATATTTTTAACTAGTTTCAATATTTTTTATTTTGTAAATATTTTTTTCACTGTTTTTTCGATAATTTTCTAAATATTTTATTAATTATTTTCATATGAAAATAATAAAAAATTTCATTTATTTTGGAACGCAGTTTAAGTTAAAAACACTCGCTCGGTACATTCGCAGTCAATTGTAAATTCGCTGAAGTAATCTTTGCTCAGCTTGTCTCTATACGCAAAAATCATTAAATTCGCACATGCGTGGTATGGCGGAGTGTAGGGTGAGCAAACTGGCAGCTTGAGACTTTGAGAGGTCTTCGGAAAAACCACTGACATTTGACACTTTGTTTACATAGGCCATTGCATTGAAATGCGCTCTGTTTTTGTTGTTGTTTGCGCTAATGTCATAACAGACATTTTGTCTCTCAGTAAAGTTTTGGGAATTTAAACAAAACTTTGTGTCGATTTGGTAACACTCTACGATTTTACAAAACTTTTCCTAATATTTAAACTTTAAATTAATAATTAATCTTAAAGAATTTCAAAGTTAAAAAAAATTATATAAATTTATTTACAATTTATTGTTGAAAAATGACCCAATTAAATTTATATTTTTTTGTACAGTCTGATTGGTCAATATTAATTGGTCTATAGGACACATGAAGATGACTATACCTAGACTATAGTCGAAATATCGGTAATATCGCCAGCTAAAAATTGCACAAAGCCAGGCTCTGAGAAGACTTTTCAAGGTACCATGCTACATTAAGACGAATGACATCCTCAAAATTGATCCGATCAAAAAATACATAAAGGATACAGCCCTGAAATTATTTACGAAAACTGACAGGCTTAGCAACACCGGGTGAGGTCAATTATTGCTTAGTCTGATGAAGTGATAAACGTAGAAAGTGTAGAAAGGGATTATGAAGAAACCTCGCAGTTAATAGAGAGAAAAAGTGCTCAAGTGCACTGACTCAACTAGTCTCAACATAATAATATATCAGTTTTAAATAAAAACAATATCATTAAATTAAATATATTGTATAGTAAATATATTTTTTATATAGTTGACGTCGTTCAGGAATGTTAAAAACATTATAGAAAAATATAACTACAGCTTTTAGCTGTAACGTTTACATTGACAAACAATTTTGACATGGCAGATATTCTTTGGAAAGTATTAGTCCTTTATCAGAAGTTCTTTGACTTTTGTGACTTTATCAAAATTTTGTGACTTCCATCTATATGGTTATACATCTATCTACACTTTTGAATAACAACTGATGTGCAATTTTAAATGGGAATTCTGAAAAATGAACATAATTTATATATTTTTATTTTATTTTATTTTATTTAATTTTTTAATTTTCAAGACTAAAACTTTACTTTCGATATTAACATTTGATATTAATATATCCGCCTATCCCATGTTATTATGTGCAATGAAAAAATATATCTGTTGTCATTGTATCACACTTTCCATTCTAATTCAATTACACCTTGAGGTCCCGTCATATCTTTTTATCTTCATCAAAGATAATTAATATTTGTTTACTAAAAGTATAGTGCTTTTATTTAATCTCGATAATAATTTTTCTCTTTGAGGAACATTTTTTTATACAATTTCTGTAAGAAATGCAATTTTAATTTGGTTCTCTCATTTTATTTGGAATCGAATTTATATTATTTTTTTAAGGGCGTTTGCAGCTACGTCCATATATCCTCAACATATTTGCCGTGTTTTTCATAATCTTTAATTAATTCAGTTCCTTCATCTTTGCTTATTCCTAACTTTTCAGTTAAACACTCCGTAATTGCTCCTTTGATGGACTTTGAGATATGCGCACCATCAGCACAAATGTACAAAATTGTGTCGCGGTGCAACAAGAATTTTACAAATTCATCAACGTTCGCTTTAATTTGGTCCTGGACATAATGATACTGAGCATCTTTCTCGCGTGATAAACTCTCAAAGTATCTATCTAAAATGTTTTCAGTTGCATACTCCTTCAGTTTTTTTCTATAGATCACACTTTCCATTCTTTTTGCACCAACAAACAACCATGTTTTGCCTAATTTTTTTTCATTTTCGTTTTCAAGGTACAACTGCTTTTTATACTCCAAAAAACCAATGAAAGGTGCTAAACCCGTACCGATACCTATCAGTATTTGTTGACTGGTATGTGCGACCTCAGGCGTATATCTAAACCTATTCGTATTACGAAAATACATTAACACACTTTTTGGCTCATTGGGGAATTCTCTAGTTTCTGCTCCCAATCTTTTCAACATACTTGTTGCAACACCTGGTGTATGTTGTAACACAGAAAATACGATTTTAATTTCATTATCATGTCCATTGGGGCTATTGGAAATGCTGTAAGCACGTGGAAATAAACGAGGTAAATTCTCGATCAACATTAAAAGTGTTGGTTTACATGAAGTACACAATAACAGTATATCTAAGAAATTTAAGCCTTTTTCTAGTATCAACTCATTGTAAAAGTGGTTGCCCTCTTTAGAAGATAAACAATTAAGGAAATTAGCTTCTTCGGCAAAACTGCAGCAACTGGCTAGAACGCTTAGAAACTGCTTTGTTGGTACTGCACGCAAATTCAAGCAGTCGGTGAGAATTTCATGTGGTGTAGTCTTATCTTCTGGTATGTGCAAAGGTAATTTAGCTTTGCTATTTTGAGTTGTGGAGAGGGGCCGAAATTTACAATACTTGTTTGCGTTTTCATCTAAGCCCATCAATATAATGGCTTGCATTACATCAAGTTTTGAGTTTTTGGGCACAATGGCAATGGTATCCCCAGCCTGATAGTCCACTTTATTGTTGTGCTGAAGATATAACATCGTATTAAATGTAATTTTATCTAATAGTAATTATATGAGTATAAATACGTACATTTAGTGTAAGTTCGAAAACTTCTTTCACCGTTTGGTCTTCACACTTTTTAACCAATGTCTTGATATTCCGTATATCAGCGGTAAATAAGCCACTGCGCGCGAATGGAAATGTTAATTGCTTACATTTTTGTTGACCATGCAAAGGATGTTCGGAAATGGGCTAAAATTATACAAATGTAACAATTTCTGTTTGAAAACCATGTGCAATATGTGTACATATATCAAATAATTTTTATTGGACTCTCTCACCTCAACGACTTTTTCCTTCTCATCATAGTAAATCAATTCAAAGTTTGGTTGCCGTAATTTAAATGGAGTATATTTCTCTAGTATATAATTTTCTATATTTATTTTCAAGATTGATTCATCAGCTTGCGACATTATTTTGCTTTTGAAAAAACCACACTAAAAATTTGTTATGGTTGCCATGTATCAAAAATTATTTTTCTACATTTTTTTTATATAGTAATTAATATACTAACCAGTAAGACTTATTCGTTACTTTAAAATAAAATGAACACAAGATAACTAATAGAAAAAAATTTTTGTATTTATGTTATTACATATATTATGATCTTTTAAATTGTTATATAAATTAAGTAAAAATACACAAGAAGAATTTTTTACAAAATTTGCTGATGCAATTTTTATAATAACTAACTTCATAAAATTTTTGTTATTAATTTTTAACTTTTTACAAAATTTTTGATATTAATTAGTTACGAAATTCAACAATGTTAACTACGTTCAAATGAAAAAAAATTTAAATCTAAATTTAAATGTTTACCATATTGTGTATTTTATTGTGTATTTTATGAAGGTAATTTTGTAAAATCTTAATGAAAGTAAATACATATCACCACACCGATTTAATTTATTTAGCGTAATTCCCACTTCTCTAGTAAGTTGATTTTTCACGAAAAATAAATATCACAAGAAAACGTGAGAAAAAATGCTATATAAGGAATAAAATATTTACAATAAATTCAGTATCCTACAAATATTTAAATTATCCTATTTAATATATATTTATCCTACAAATATTTATTTACTTGTACAAATATTTCAGCTTTAGAAATCAAGACAGCAAATTGGTTTGTGTTTACAGGCATCATTTGCAAATCGACCGTCGTCTAACTTGGTTGAAATGTATTGCGTCATTTACTGCTTTTCGGTAAGATGTGATTAAAACCTTGACTTTTAGAATAAACGATCAATGCATTTCTTTTTAAATCGCTCAATATATCATCTACTTCTTCTTCGACTTCTTCTTCCGCGCAGATTATATTTTCCATATGCTACTTACAATCAAGTCATTCTATCTTGTTTGTTATTTATCAAAATGTTAACAATTTTGCTATTTTCACTGAATTTTGGTATAATATTGATATATATTTCAGATTTTCTTTTGTTTTCACAATAACTTAAAAATTCATCATTCAGCTGATTTTACTAGCTAACGCTTCATTCATTCATTCAAAACGCTTGATTAGCCGAAATGCCCTTTAAAAAAAATATGTCGTTAATCTAATTTAGCTATTTGCAATTAATTTGATAAAGTAATATATATTACATAGCGATCATTTTTGATTATAGGACTACTGTTTAATTATTTTTTTAAGATTACTTGCCACAATTAAAAAAGTTATTTTAAAAGTGACTACTCATTACGAACACACACCACAGTTTCGATAACTGTCACTTCAATGCAATGTGAGATTTACCATCTCTAGGCAACTGTCAAAATGAATAACAACAAAATATACGTAGAGTAATAGTTTTTTAAGAATTTATAATTATTGGAATTTGTGTAATTATGGATAAACCAAGAGTTATACAGCTCGATAAGAGTGATGACGAATATGAAGATGCTTTAAACTATGCAGCAAATAGTCAGGATGACACAGCCGAAATTGATGAGTTAACCAAACAACAAAGTGAGCTTCACCTATCGAGTGTCGCAGAGGGCGATGACAAAGAATTTAGTGATGGCAATGGTTCTGTTGCAGAGGCTGGTGATGATGACATGAATGAAGGATTTGAAGACATGTTACGAGAAAATGAGAATAATATGACTGCCGAAGAACTGCAACAAAACAAAGAAAAAGCTGATCAATTAAAATTAGAAGGTAATGAGTTCTTCAAAAATGGTGATGCAGAGCGCGCCGTGGAAGTTTATAGCGAAGCAATAAAGCTTTGTCCTACAACATATACCAAAGAACGTGCTGTACTGTATGGTAATCGGGCTGCTGCAAAAATTAAATTAGATGCGAAAAAATCTGCAATTGATGATTGCACAGCATCTATAAAATTGTGGCCGGAATATGTGCGCGCTATTTTAAGGTAGAATTCTCAAATTATTGTCATATTTCATATACATAAATATATTTATTTAGACGTGGTAAACTATATGAACTAGAGGATAAACTTGATGAAGCACTAGAAGACTATAAAAAAGTTAATGAATTAGATCGTAGTCAACGTGAAGCAATAGAAGGTATGATGCGGTTACCACCATTAATACAAGAGCGCAACGAACGTATGAAGGAAGAGATGTTGTCTAAGCTTAAGGATCTAGGCAATATGGTATTGAAACCATTTGGTCTCTCAACAAATAACTTCAAAATGCAACAGGATCCTAATACGGGCTCATATTCAGTGAATTTCGTTCAAAAACCCAATTAAGTTACTAAATTTAAGTTAATTCCTATATGTTTTTGATTTATATTTTTTACATAAAATATTAGGGCAATAAATATTTTACGATAGAAAGGAAAAGTTGTAATATCTATTATTTGTATAAAGTATCTGTTATGTATGAGAAATTTGAAAATATTTCAAAAAAAACTAAGAGCCGATGTAATAGTCATAACTTAAGTCTTCTTAATATTGACCTTTGTCATCAAAATTAGTGGCTTAAGCATACCATTAGTCATATAATGAACATTGGTTAAAATAAAAATCTCTGTTTTAAATTAAAACAAACAAATGAGACTATGTGATTTTCAACAATATTGCCGACCGTCTTTTATGAATTCGTTCTGTGATTTTATTTACTTTTATTATAAAACGAAATCGTACTTAACTTATAATTATCATTTTAAAGTAACGACTGCAAAAAAGGCCCTATGTTTTGTCAGTAAAGTATGTAACGGCTTAAAGGGGAAAGCACTAAATTTTTTACAAGTTGCTTATAATATGACGTAGCACACTAATACACTTCGTTTCATAAAAATTGAAGATATATTTAGTTTGTGTAAATGTTCATAACATCTAGAGATTAATTAAACTATGTCTATTTATCAGTCATTAAATTAATTTCTGAGCTAATTAAATGAATAAACTTTATGAATCGTATTAAATATATCTAATGTGTTAATAATATTGGTTGAATATATCGTGTACCGTATATATAAATAAAACACAGTCAATGATGGACTTATACTATTTTTAATATAAATATTAAAATAAAAATAATTATAATACTTTATTTTAGACTTCAGTTATTTCTATTACTTATTTAATATATAAACCGTATTATTGCAAACGTTTAAAAACAAACTTGTTTTAATCCTGACAAAATTAGAAAATGCAAAATATGTATTATATGTCTTATAGTTCGGATCTGCCACTTATTAGATAATTCGAATCAAATGTTATTAACATATCTGTTCGACAATCTAGCAATATAAATCACAACAATGTGTTAAGTGTATGTATACTCGCATGTATTATTTCTTTGGTTATACGCTTTGTTTTTTACTTCTTTTATTTACTTTATCATTATTATTCATATATATATATAAACGCATACAACATTGTATGCATTGGATTGTTAATATGACTCCCGTAATCCGAATGTCTCGATAATCTGAATTGACTGTAATTTTATTCCGGATTAACGGAATTGTGCTGTGATAACTTTATACTACTACAATGAAATGATATGGTTTCAAGATTATTTATATAAAAAAAATATATTGTATATATAAAATATAATATATTTTATGTGCATTGACATAATAAAATGTTTTCAGTATAAGTTCTAAATTTATTTTATATATATGAGCCTTGGCAGCTAGCGCACGTTTTTCGTATCTTAGTTATAAAATTTTATATTTTGTAATTAATTATAATAAATAAATAAATTTCATATATATATGAATATCATTTGTAATATAATATTTAATTAAAATTATTTTTTAATAATTGGAACATGTTTAAATAGAGGATTTTAAAAATGCACAAAATAAATATAATTTTTATTAACCTTTTTCTATTGTGAATACATTTGACATTTATACCACTTGAAGGGGTTTTGTCCAAACTAAGCAAACGCTTAGCAAAATTCATTTATGCGAGTTTTTACCTAACCGATAAATAATTTAAATCTTTTGAAGAAAATTAATAAATTGTTTAATTAAAAATTAAATGTTTTGAATTTAAAAATTTACTCAGTATTGTACGTTTTCTATTTGAAACAGATTTCTTATCATAGGGCTTTATATTTAAAAAATGATAATTTATAAACAAAAAAATATTTGAATAATTATATCCTCAGTTGAAATAAAAAATTTATATTATGAAAAATTGATTAAATAAACTTTTACTATCTCCTTAACTATAATTTGATTTAAATTATTTTGGTTTTACTAAATAAAATTTTGGTTGCGATATTCTACGATCGCTTAACATCTCACAGTTCTAGTGTCCTGTCCTATAACACAAAAAAATTAAAAACTCGAAAAATTTTATATAGTTATTTTTCCTTCAGAATAAGGAAATATCACATTTTATTAAAGCAGCATCAATTGATTCTTTGTTTTACGCTATGCTTACTTTGTATTCTAAGTAATTCATTTAAGTCTTATAACGATAGCTTTAAGACCATAAAACATGGTTTTAGGCACATAGGGTCTGGGGTCAAATCCTACTATAGTCTGATTTAGAAACATGCTTTAAACTTTTGCTTTAGATGTTTGATGGCCTTGTCCTAGGAATATTAGAATACTAGAAGTGCCGTTTCAAGCACTTCTGAAAATTGCAAAAATGCTTACTATAGAAAGACGTCATATTGGTTTAACTCTAACTGGTGTCCATATATCTTAAACCACGCATATATTGTGTGGCTTATAATCAGTTAAAATGATCTAACCTCGCCCAAGTCTTGCACCTTTATTGATTTCTGTAGAAACCATGGGACTTAAAGCTATTCATAAAGCTTGAAAATTTGTTAGAAAGGAAATTTTTAAAGTTCTGAAAAATTATTTAATAAATTGTATTATAAATTAATAGAACTAAACTAGATGCCTCTCGCATCTGGTTGTCAAGGCAGTCTTAAAATATAGAACTAGAAGAGGTCTTGAAATGGAACAAGAATTTTTTGTTTTATTTAGTTTCCAGTCAAAGACGCTTAATTTCATCATAGGCATAGATCCGATAATCCATTGATTATGTTAGGAAGTGTATATAATCTTTGTATATAAAATATTTGATACAGAGAAAGATTTATATAGTACGTACTTCTAAATAAATTAGAAGAATTGGAATGCATTTAAAATATAATTGAGCAATTCTTTGTTGTAAGTAAAATGTTTAAAAATGTGGCAATTTTTTTTTAAGTAGATATTTTATAATGGCAATATTAATTTATAATAACCCATGTATTATTATTTGCTGATTTGATAAAAACTTCTTTATATAATTCTATTGTTTGTCACTGTTACAAATGTCGCGTCACTCTAGGCAAGAAAAAATTATCACATTTAAAATTGTTTATAATTATTAACTGAAAATTTTTCTACTTACCGGGTAGAAATTAATAATAAATAGAAAATAATAATAGAAAGTAATAAATATACTGAAAATGTATAATTAATGAAGCTTTTTTAAATTAATATGCAGCATATATTAATTTATTTTATTAAGATATAAATTAAAATTTTCAAAGTTAATAACAGCTTATGAACAATAAAATTATTAAAATGAGGCACTTTGTAGATCTGTAACAAAAATATTTAAATTTTAAATAGAGTTCCTTAATTTTTTTAATTTATTTAATTCTTAAATAGAGTTTAAATAGAGCAACTATAATAAAATCATTTAAACACATAAAACAGTGCTAATAGCTTCAAAGCCTCAATTGATCTATCTAAAAGATTTGCCGGCCAATAGAGCACCTCTGTAATATTAAAAATCAAACAATCAAGTGTCTTGATCTAAATCGATTGTAGATCGAAAAACGATTGCTTCGAGGAATCAGTACAGATAATCACTACCAATCTATTAATAATGTACAATATTTTGAGTGATTATAATAAAAACATTTTACTGATATCACTGATAACATTAGGGCCGACAGTCTCCTTACTGACGATAGAAATAATCAATAATATTTGGTTGTTTTTCAAGAATATATTATGTTTGAGACAAATTAGTTGTTGAATTGTTGTCTCTAAAAATTACTAATATTTAAATCTCCGTGATCTAAAACTGCTTAAGCCGATTGAGGTAAGAATCTCTTGTAATACAAATTATATATGGTTTCTTTTGATTTCTAGTAAGGACAGTTTGAATTGCATATAGCCTATGTCATTTTAACATATAGGACTTAATTAAGACTACTAAACGATACAATGCGTGTTTTTTGGATGAAACATTTTGGGGAAACTCTCTAGCTACCAAACACCAATTTCATCCACAGATTTGCAGGGGATCTTTTTCCGATGGAGGAAAAAAACACCCGTTACTCAATATTCTTTAAAGGAGGTCAAGGTTAACACTGAACTGTAGTGCTAAATAAGAAAAAGAAAATTTCCGTTAATATGAAGCATCCAGTGTCCATGAAGCGACAGTGTAATTTAGAAAAAACTGATGTTCGCTTGTGTGAATAGATACATATGTATATAAAAATATCAGTTACAATCGGTTTCAAATAAGTAGTGACTGACTAAGACTTTCTGAAACAGACCAATTAATATAATTTAAGAATATGAATAATTATTATTCCTATTTCACTAACTTGCAATAATATTTAGCCGATATTTATGCACTCAAATTGATTACTTTTAAATAATGACTAAACTTATTTGGATGATTTCGTTTACTGATTATACTATTTGTATATACAAAATGTATATCTTTAAAATAAAATCTACCATAACAGATAATTCTCTAAGGTCTTATCAAGCAATAATTCAATTAAGTTTTATTGAAGTTATAACTATCAATTGGAAATGCCGATTAGAAACCACACAAAAAACCAAAACTAAATCCGATAAGACAACAAAATTAATTTGTTTTTCAGATATAAAATATATTAAATATATTTTATATTGGATATATATACATATGTATATGTATGTATATTGTGAATTACGGGCAATTTTTAGAATTTCAATATGCATTTGCAGATAACAATAATGAATAAAGTTTTTATATAAATTATGTTCAATTTTTATTGCATTATTAAGTAATAAAAAATCGCTGTAAAAAGTTCAAAGATCAATGGACAAATTTTTATCACGCCACACATTGATAAGGAACCAGCAACGACGGCAGCACCGATCATGAAAAATAAAGCCGGTAACAAAAAGCGGAGGAGAGACGTTTAATTAATCAGACAAAAGCAAATAAATATGTATTAAATTTAATGATATCCAAAGTAGTTATTTATAATGGATGAAATACAAAAATAAATGCATATACCATAGTAATCATAAATTAAAGTTGATTAGATTATAACACTATAGATGCAGCAAAGTATATATACTTAAATTTAATACTATATACATATTTTGTATTATATAATATTATTCGCATATCATAATATTAAAAAAAAAGTTATTTTCTGAGCATAGTATTTAATAAAATTTGTAATTATTAATAATATTATTTCATAAGTTTAGCATTGCAATTTTTTTATTATTTAGTTTGGCATCGTTATCATATCGCAAAATGAAAGTACATGGTTGCATTTCTTTCGTCTAGACTAGCAGAATTGTAACGTTGCAAATGAAATCTTTAAAAAATGACTCACGTTGGTAATATTGCCAAAATTTGCACATTTATTTCATTCATAACAAAGTTCGATTCTATTTTAATATAGCAACAAAAAATTTTAATAAATAAATTATTTTTATCAATGTATTAAAACGTCAACGGATTTGCAAAAGCCCACGTCAGACGTAGTTTTAAATATAAAAAGATCTAATTAAAGTAACTAAATGTCCAAAGAAATTTTAAAGATAAACCGTTCGTTATTTATCTAATCACTATTTTATGAAACGTGCATTAATGTACATAAAGATATTTATCTTAGTTCATTTTTGCATTTATATTGTTTAGAGTTACCAATGCAGATTAAAAACAGATGCAAAATAAAGTTCAATTGCAAACTAAAAAAATATTTATTCAAAATTTATTTAAAAATATTTTTTTTTTTTATAGAATTTTCAAGAAAAAAATATTTACAATATAATAATCTCAAATTATATATTCAATAAAAATCATGTATTTGTATATCATATATGACCATCAATCATATGTAAATCATATGTATAATATGTGATAGAAATAGAAAAATGTGATGTTTGGAATAATTGCAAAATATCTCTATAAAAACAATGGAACTGTAACAGTAGCTCTACTAATGGATTATATTTTGTTTTCCTATATGTTTATACTTTAGTTATCTAAGCAGGAATTAAGTTTTTGTTGGCGATTATTACTTTTTTTTAAGTATTGAATATATATTTTGTTGGAAACTTAAAAGGAAGCTTGTTTGTTTTGGTTAAAAATTGCTCTTTTAGGATTTAATTTCTACCTTATAAATTTTCGGACGATGGGAAATTAATGAATTCCTATAAAATCTATGATTCATAAAAGTGAAGAGATCTTTTCATAATTGTGCAATTAATAAAACTATTATTGCAGTATTGGTGCTTAAATATTACAGCTCCATATATAACTTATTTACATATTTATATATTATACATGTATTATAATTATATATTTAAATATGCGCTCCAAAAAAAATATTTAAGATTTATTTTAAATGACTAACGGTTACTAAGTGCCATGTTATGCAAACAGTCATAGTCACGTCGAATGTGAAGTTGTTGTTATATAAATGAAAAATTTTAAATGCAAGCAATATATAAATATTTATTAAACTTTGTCCACGATAACTAAGCTTTATGTTATATGTTGCCGGGTACATATAAATACTCTTATTATATCAACTCAAGATTTCAACTCCTATTATTTCAACAACCTAAAGACCACTTCAGACTCGTGCATGACCGTGTATTTTATATGTTGCGTGGTACATATAAATACTCCTATTATTTCAACTCACCTAAAGACCACTTTAGGTGGTCAGACCACCTGCATGACCATGTATTTTGATTGTATCAGTGAAATATATTTTTATGTGTACACACCGACTCTGCTTGAAATGCTTGACTAGGTATCAAAATATTTTTATTCTTCTTCTTGCAATTTGTTATCGATAATTAAGCGAACATAGTGTGTAAGTGCATTTAAATACCATTTTTACCGAACTTTATCACAGCAAATGGAATAAAATAAATTAAATATAAAATAATTTGTGAATTATACATGATTTTATTTTAAAAAGAAGTCCATTTTATCAGCAATAATCACATAATACGAATCCGACATAGCTGTTACCACAGTTCAAAAAAATATATAAAAAGAAATGTATGAACAATCGATAAATTAATATATACATAACTTTATTAGATTTATAGTACAGACTCTGTACGTTGCATCAGCTAATTTTCGAAGAAATAAGAGCATTTGAGAGAGCGTAACATCCCTGAGAGAGAGCGTAAATTTGAAATTGCTACACAGACTTTACTCATACATTTTATTTCAATTAAAATTTGTGTGGTGTTCAATCAGCTGTTACGGCTTGAATTTAAATTTTTGTGTTGTTTACTTGTGCGGCACTGGTGTTTTCACCAGATTTTATATAAACCTGTTTCATGAACATCTGTGTAAAGAGCGTAATTTGGCATTTTATTTGTGTTACGCTCTCATTTTGTACTTTACTCGTATTATACTTAAGTTTTACTACGACTAGCCCGTGGAATAGACTTAATACGAAGCAGACATATCAGTTACCACAGTTCAAAAGAAATATAAAAAGAAATACATGAACATTCGATAATTGTATATCACACAAATAAATATTACACAGTTTAAAAGTACAAAAGTATATACATTACACACCTTTATGTACTGTATTATCAAGTATTTGGATCGTCTGTAGTAGAATTTATATATAACATTACACAAATATTTATTACACAGTTTAAAAGTACAAAAGCACATCACATTATATATTCTAAGTTGGCAACACTATTCGCACATTCATTTATCTATGCAAGCTTTGTTGTTTTTATTTCTGCCTTATTTTTGGTATAAAAAGCGGCACAATTGGTGCCCGCCGCTAGTTGTTTTCATTGAGTTCTTTGCTCATTAAGCGTGGTTTGCGTTTGAATAAATTTAATTAAATTTAAACCTTAAATTTTCAAAAAAAAAAAACTAATTAAAAATGGCATGCTGGGAAGGAAAGAAATATAAACTCGACAAGAGCGATAACTTCGATGAGTACATGAAGGAATTGGGTAAGTTGAATCATATGCAATGCAAAACAACAAATACTGCACTATATTGTCAAAAAAGCGGCCGGCAAATATATTGACCAAAAGCGAATAAGAATCAAATCAAAATTTAAAGTGAAATAAAAATCAATATAAACTACGTAAGGATAATTTGCAAAAATTCAAAAAATGTGAAAAATTTGGCGTGTAATGTGAGTAATTATTTTTTTTTTTACGGTTCTTATTTTATGTTCATCTGCATAGAAAATGGTACAGTAACTCGCATATTAAGCTTCAACCGGTTTTAGTAAAAATTACAAAAACAAATAAGCTTGGCATTGAAAAATACAGTTCCACATCTTGGCAGAGTGTAGCTCTTAAATGAGGGAAATTGTTACATCTTCGTTTTTTCCAGAATTGTAGTTGTTGTTGTTGGTGTTTTAGTTTGCTTCACTAAAGATTGGAATTCGCAAAGTTCAATGTATTTTTTTATGTGCACTACTTTCGTCACTTTTAAAGTAAATTATGTGGAACACGTGTTAAAGCTTCTGTGTGAAGGATAACAGAGGTGAGGCTATTGGCTATGTATCAGCCTGAGTTATTTAATATAAAAACTAATTTTAGTTATTGAAAAATTGTTGAAAACAGTTGGACTAGTAATTAACAAAAAACTTTTCCATTAAAGGATAGTTTATATGGGAATATAAGGTCCACATCTAAATATCTTATAATATATAATATTAGCATAGTTTGCCGCATAGATGATGGAAGTCAAAATATTTTAGTTCCTTTAGTTCTAAGTCCGCGGGTAAATTTGCAACTTATGTTAAAGTTATTAACAATTTGTAGTGAATATAAAAATTATTAAGCAGCTTAATATCAAAAGCTTCTTGAAATCGATCGATTCTTTATTTTAAAAAAAAAATTTTATATCATTTGTACAATATCCAAATGTTTTTTATATAAAAATGATATAAAGATATAAAATAAATTATGTAAAAATTCATTTTATATTATTTTAATTAATTGAATTTTTGGCTGACCATACAGCTGTTTCGAGTATTGCCAAATACCCGTGTCATCAGTGGTCCTGAAAATAATTCTTGTGTTTAATTATACGTAAATAATTAATTGAGACTGCAAGTACCTGGAATCGAACTCATGCCCTGCCAAATTTGAAGCTCAGAGTCAGCGCTTCTTAACCAACTGACTCATACTTGACTTTTATGTTCGCAAATTTTTCTGGTGTTTTGTTAATTTATTATGAAAGTTTTATTAACAAATTCACTGTATTCTGTTATATATACAGTGTTGTGCATAACAAAAGCAACCAAAATTTGCCCATCAAATAAATAAGTTTTTTGTCTACTTTTTACTTTTCATTCAAAAACTTAAATACAGAGTTTTATTTGTTATTGTATTAGCTATTATAAAAAAACAACAAAATCTACAATTCTAAATAACGGGTTAAATAATTCACAAAAATAATGAGATATTGCGAAATGCGGCTGTGCATAACAATAGCAACTTTATTTATTATATTAAATTTATGTATTATTTTTCTAAATTTTGTATTAAGTCCTTTGCTTTTTATTACTTGGGCACTTCTTCGGGTCATAGGTGATATTAAATTGTTAGTAAAAAATAATTGGAATTTTACACCATTCATCTTTCATGACCTCAAACATTTGGAAACTTTTCGACCCCCAAAGCGACGTTTGAGAATACCAAAATGTTCTCAATTGAATTAAAATCAGGTGTTTGGGCTGGCTAATCTAAAATTGGAATTCCATTTTTCAAAATCCATTCTCTTATCAGCTTTATGGTGTGTTTTGGGTCGTTATCGTACTGATATACCCGTCGGAGTGACATTTCTCATCCGCCATGGGGTACCATATGGCTTTCTAAAATTTTTTTGTACACATGTTGGGCTATTATTTGATGAATTTCATGAAAAGATCTTAGTCTAAATCCTGAAAAGAACGCTCAAATTATTACTGACCCACGCCCATGCTTCACAGTCGCTTGGCAGTTACGCGAATACAAACGTTTTTCTTTTTCGCGACGTACTGTGCACATCCCATCAGAATTAAAGATGTTAAATTTTGATTTATTGCTGAAAAAAATTATTTTCCATTTAGTAAGACTTCAATTTAAGTGATTCCACGTGAAATTTGATCTAAATGAAGTATATTAATATTAATTAAAAAGCAAAACAAAAATCTGCCTCTTTTGCTAATGCTTTTTAGTCAACATTGGTTTTTTTGACTGGTCTGTAACTTTTGAAACCGGCTTCGAGAGTAAGCCTGCGTACAGTACTAGAGTCAACACCTTGTTTAAGCTCGGCTACGACCTTTTTCAACGACACGAATGGTTGTTTTTTTTGTAATTCTTATTATGTTTCGATCAATTCTACAAGTAATCTTAAGAGAGGCTTCACTCAAATAAACAGTTTTAACGGTATTTTGTCAAATTATATTTTTTTATAAGCTGCGAAACAATAAACTAATTAATTTTAAATATTTTGGCTATTTCATTTAAGCACTGCCATTTAAATATTTTTCAATTCTTGCTTTTTTAAACTTCAAAGTATACGTGTCACGAGTCATGATAAAAACGTACTTCCATTACCTGATTTAATATTGAACTATTCTGTGTTTATGTTCTAATTCGCTTAAAAACATAAATCACAGCATAAAAATGCAAAAAATCAAAAAAATATCTTGCTAGAATGCACTTTGGTCATAGATCTATCATTGATCTTGTCTCAGTTGCTATTGTTTTGCACAGCCGCATTTCGCAATATTTTATTATTTGTGTGAATTAATTAACCCGTTATGAAGAATTGTAGATTTTGTTGTTTTTTTATAATAGCTAATACAATAACAAATAAAACTCTGTATTTAAGTTTTTGAATGAAAAGTAAAAAGTAGACAAAAAACTTATTTATTTGATGGGCAAATTTTGGTTGCTTTTGTTATGCACAACACTGTATATTAGAACGAAATCATAAACCAGCTGTAGAATAATTGAATTATATAAATAATTCTGATAAATTTATTCATTTTTACTGCTGTTGGCTAGCACTTTTTAATATTGGAATATGTTAAAATAACCGTTTGCTATAGAGCTTCTTTATAAATTTTTATCTTTATATATTTTTTAGTGCAGTTAACTAGTAAATAGGCTGTTTTTTTTTCTTATATATCCTATATTTATGCTTTTTTGGCACCTTGTCAACAAGTTGTTGTTTTTGTTTGCTGTCACAAAGTTTATATTTAAGATAAGCATTGATTCTTTGACTATATGCTTGAGTGAAGCACACTCCTTCACTTCAAAAAAAGATTTTTTTTACAATTATTTTTCATTCAAGCTTAATAATATCTACAACTTCATTTTGTAATGAGAACCATTTTGATTTAATTAATTTAATAAATGATGTTGAAGTTTTTATAACTAAATTTAAGCAATTTTAACGCCATTTATTTTTTTTCCTATTGTTGGTGGTATTATTGTATATACATATGTGTGCCTGCGCCCGCATAAATGGCAGTAAATAAATTAAATGAAATAACATAACTTTATTATTTTTAATTTAATATTATATTATATACAGTAGAGACTCAGTAAAACAAAAAATATAATATCAGGGTCTTTCGTTATTGCAAATGCATTTTATATGCAACATTGGCTATTTAGAGCGAACAGTTTTGGTATATTTAATATTTATAAGTATTTGATCGTTCATTATTTAGAAGATTCGCTATATCGGATTTTTTTCGGTGCACTGTATTACATAAAAGAAGTGAAAAGAAATAAAGGCACTTTTAGCACTAAATTTTGTGCTTATTTATACAATTATTTTAAATTTAGTTTTAGTTTTAATTAATTTGATTAACTTTCTTTGAACTTGATACCATTTTCAATGTCATTTTTATTACTTTAATATATTGTGCTATTAACTACATGTATATATGTACATTCAAAATTTATTTCAAAGTTTTTTTTGCGCTGTTAATATATTAACAAATATTACAATACAATAATATTATTGTATTGTCTTATCTATGGTAAAGCACTTTCTTTACCGATGACTTCTATGAACAAAAAAAAATGAAAGTATATGCCATTTAAAAGGATGTGACGAAACTTTAAAGCACGTGAAGGATGATCGTGAAACTTTAACGGCTTATTAATGAGATCTCTACATTACCGATATTTATAATTGCTAATAAATGGCTTCACTATTAATACCTATTTTTAAAAAGTTCCATTTACTTTGAAATGGAGCGAAGTATTACTTCGCTTGTTTTTTACTACTACTAATACTGGTAATGCATTTTAATTTTGGAATTTGTTATTACTTAATTATTATAAGTCGAATTGTAATTATCTATTTATGAATGAATAGTTACAATTTTGTCTACTTAATGTAAACATAACAACACCCAGTGTCTAGTACTGCAAATCTATTATGAATTTATGGTAATTTATAATGGTTTAGCAGAACTTATAGAAAAAGTCTGATTCAAAGCTCACATTTAAAAACAAAAAACATATTTTTTTTATTTAATGACATGCATTAGAAAATCAATATTGCATGTAAATACACGTTAACAGATACTTTGTCATGAAATATGTAATTATATATATCACTTTTTTTCTGTAACCGAAAGTGTATAATTTTCTGCGTCAATTAAAATACAAAATAATATTGAAAAATAAAAAAGTAATAATAAAAAAATTTTACAATATTTTAAAATCAATATATATATATGTGTGTTATTGTGGTTTCATGCTTCGATAGATTATTTATAATTGCACCGTATAATGTGTCCCATATATAATTTACACTACTAAAAAGTCTTAAATAACCTTTTGTATGATAGACATGTACGTGATTTTTATACTTTTTAATAGTAAAAATAAGTTTTTATATTATATTATATTTATTATCCATAAACCATCAGTAAGTAATAAAATATATAATAAATTTTAATTGCTTTAAGAAGTAAATGGAAGAA